TAGTTAATTCAGCATTTATTTTCTCATCAAAAATCATTCTAAAATATTAATTACCAACTATTTTGAATATGAAAGTTAATTCAGCATTTATTTTCTCATCAAAAATCATTCTAAAATATTAATTACTCCCTATTTTTAAATATGAAAGTTAATTCAGCATTTATTTTCTGATCAAAAATCATTCTAAAATATTAATTACCAACTATTTTGAATATGAAAGTTAATTCAGCATTTATTTTCTCATCAAAAATCATTCTAAAATATTAATTACCAACTATTTTGAATATGAAAGTTAATTCAGCATTTATTTTCTCATCAAAAATAATTCTAAAATATTAATTACTCCCTATTTTGAATATGAAAGTTAATTCAGCATTTATTTTCTCATCAAAAATCATTCTAAAATATTAATTACTTCCTATTTTGAATATGAAAGTTAATTCAGCATTTATTTTCTCATCAAAAATCATTCTAAAATATTAATTACTCTCTATTTTTAATATGAAAGTTAATTCAGCATTTATTTTCTCATCAAAAATCATTCTAAAATATTAATTACTCCCTATTTTGAATATGAAAGTTAATTCAGCATTTATTTTCTCATCAAAAATCATTCTAAAATATTAATTACTAGCTATTTTGAATATGAAAGTTAATTCAGCATTTATTTTCTCATCAAAAATCATTCTAAAATATTAATTACTTGCTATTTTGAATATGAAAGTTAATTCAGCATTTATTTTCTCATCAAAAATCATTCTAAAATATTAATTACAGTCTATTTTAGATATAAAGTTGATTGAAAATAAGATAATTATAAAAATTTTAGAAAAATAACTTGCTATTAAGGATGTATAAAATTCAAAGAAGGTCTACTATAAGATAATAAAATTACCCGCTTATTGATATAATAAAATATGTTTAATTTTTTAAGAAATAAATATAAAAGTTTACAGGCTATTAGAAATGTAAAATATGTTAGATGTTCTAATAAATAAAGTAAGGAATATTAATTAATTACTAGCTGTTTTGGTTAATAAAAATATTGAGATATTTAGAATAAATTGTTAAATGAAAGTTACGCTCTGTTTAAATTTAAAGTTAAGTTGTGGTTTTTAAAATTAGAACAATGAATGATTGTATGTTTGTTACTTGCTTTTTTAAATAAATAGGAAAATAAATATCTCTTGATATTATCTAGTAAAATAATTACCCACTATTTATTTTAAGTTTTAATGTGTATTTTTATGTTAGAATTAATTTAATTATTTTATTACATTCTATTTTATTAATTTTAATTTATTATTTCGTCTATCTTGCTAAGATTATGAAATGTCAAAAAAAAAAATTACTGTCTATTATTTATTTTTAATAAAACAAAATATAATATCAAGCCAGGTTGATCTTTACTTATCCCTATTTAAGTAATTTTATTTGAATATATTTCAAAGTAATAAAATTAAATAAAAGTTACCAATTCCTTATTTTAAAGTTGAAGATATTTTATAATATTCTTATAAAATATCATTCAATAATTATACTTTCTATAATAGAAAAAAATAATTTAATATTAATTTTAGAGTGGTATTTAACATAAAAGCTTTACGTCCTATTTAGAATATTTCGTTTTTTTCTTATTTAAAATCATTCAAAAATTTTACTCACTAATAATAAATTAAATAAATAAATAAGTAAAGTATCAAAAATAAAAGTTTTACTAGCTATTTTATTGAGGTAATTAATGAATGAATATATATATGTCTGTCTGTCTATAAGAAAGTAAGTGTAATACAATCTGTTTCAAAATTAAAATGAATTGACTATTTATTATATGAGAAAATCAGTCTGAAAGTAATAAATAAATACATCATCCTATTAATTAAACAACGGTTAATTTAAAACTATAAATCTGATGTGATTAAAGATTATTAATTATTACATCTTCCTATTTTATTTATTTATTTAATATAAGTTTTTCTTTTCTAATATAAATAAATAAATTAATTATTTACTCCCTAATTAATGTTTTATTCAATTTTTTAAAGTTATATTTTTGTTTATCTTAATATTTTACTGATTTATTCTATTTAAGTTATAGTTTTAATTTATCTTTGAATAATCTTTAAAAGCACTTTAATATATTACATCCTATTTTAATTATCAATTTAATTTTTAAATTTCTGAATAAATGTTCAATTTCATAACTACTTCCTTTTTTTAACGTTTAAATTACTTTTATTTCTCAAAAATTTATTTAAAATTATTTACCAATCTTCCCTTTTAAAAAATAATTTATTTAGCTTCTTTCAATAAAAATATTCAAAATTTACTTTCTATTTTAATTATTTAATGCAATTCATCTTATTTATTTGTATCTAACTAATATTTACTTGCTTTTTTTTGAATTTAAATAATTTTTAGATTATTTTTAATCAAAGATAATATTTACATCCTATTTAAACCATTATTGATCTATTTATTCACTGTTTTAAAATCAAAAGATTACCATCTATTTTTAAACATTAATGATACAATAATTTAAATTTCAAAATATTGTATGTAAATTCATACCCACTAATTCATACAATCAATAAACTCATTTTTTCACTATCTGAACTTCTAAATCACAAATATTATATTACATCCTTTTCAAAATTTTATATAACTCATTTACTATTATTTATTTCGCTAAAATTATTACACATTCCTGTAAATACTAAATAATTTAAATCAGCATTTTCTAAAAAAATAAATAAAATAATATTACTCTCTAATTGATTATTTAGAAAATTATTTATAAATCATTGTTTAAATATTTATTACGATCTATTTTGCAATAATATAACTAACTTATTGACCTCTTCCAAATATATATGTTACACTCTATTTTAAATATCAAAATTAATTCTGCATTTATTTTTTTTCTCATTCAAAATTTTAAAATATAAATTACTTGCTATTTGGAATATGAAAGATAATTCAGCATTTATTTTCTCATTAAAAGTCATTCTAAATTATTAATTACATCCTATTTTGAATATTAAAGTTAAACCAGCATTTATTTTCGGGTTAAAAATAAAATTATATACAAAAAATAGGCATAATATTAAAATTTTTAAAGTTAGAGTAAATAATACAATGAAATCTTAATATTTAATTCAAATTAATTTTATTTTTTTAATATTTTGTTGGTTGTGATAGCTATTTTATCTTTAAATTAGAAGATAATAAATTTATAATTAGATAAAACAAGACATGACTTCAAAATAATTATTAATTTGTTAAAATTTATATATTTAAAATTTTTAAATGTAATATGTTCAAAATATTCTAGATTCATTCTATTTACAATATTTTTTATCACAATATTAAATCTTAGAATTTTTATTTTTCCTTTTTTCAAGATTCTAGAATATTTATTTTTTACAATATTTACACATTTTTTAAATTTTATAATCTACAATATTTATAATATTAGATTATAATAATTTACAATAAAAAATATTTTAAAATATCAGATACAACAATCACTTAATATAAGATTCTTAAGATTATGCAGATATCTTGTATATAATCCAAAAATCATTCTAAAATATTAATTACTAGCTATTTTGAATATGAAAGTTAATTCAGCATTTATTTTCTCATCAAAAATCATTCTAAAATATTAATTACTAGCTATTTTAAATATGAAAGTTAATTTAGCATTTATTTTCTCATCAAAAATCATTCTAAAATATTAATTACTGGCTATATTGAATATGAAAGTTAATTCAGCATTTATTTTCTCATCAAAAATCATTCTAAAATATTAATTACATCCTATTTTGAATATGAAAGTTAGTTAATTCAGCATTTATTTTCTCATCAAGAATCATTCTAAAATATTAATTACCAACTATTTTGAATATGAAAGTTAATTCAGCATTTATTTTCTCACCAAAAATCATTCTAAAATATTAATTACTTGCTATATTGAATATGAAAGTTAATTCAGCATTTATTTTCTCATCAAAAATCATTCTAAAATATTAATTACCCACTATTTTGAATATGAAAGTTAGTTAATTCAGCATTTATTTTCTCATCAAAAATCATTCTAAAATGTTAATTACATTCTATTTTGAATATGAAAGTTAGTTAATTCAGCATTTATTTTCTCATCAAAAATCATTCTAAAATATTAATTACTTTCTATTTTGAATATGAAAGTTAGTTAATTCAGCATTTATTTTCTCATCAAAAATCATTCTAAAATATTAATTACCGACTATTTTGAATATGAAAGTTAGTTAATTCAGCATTTATTTTCTCATCAAAAATCATTCTAAAATATTAATTACTCCCTATTTTGAATATGAAAGTTAATTCAGCATTTATTTTCTCATCAAAAATAATTCTAAAATATTAATTACCAACTATTTTGAATATGAAAGTTAATTTGAGCATTTTGTGATAAAAACTTTACACACTATTTTGAATATAAAAGTAAATATTCGAGCATTTTGTGAAAACTTTACATGCTATTTTGAATATAAAAGTAAATATAGTATTTTTTAAGGAAAGAACAAGTGATTACAATCTATATTAGAGAAAAAGATGAATTAAGTATTAGCTATAGATAAAAATTTAACCCTCTATAAGAATATGATTATGAATTTATGATCATGATTTTCAAAGTTATTTACTTCCTTTTAAATAAAAAAATTTAGGATATGTTGAATTGACTGAATAAAATTACATCTTTTTTTGTGTGCTAAAATAGTTAAAGGTAATTTAAAAAGGAGAAGAATAATTAAAGAGTGATAAATATACTTGCTATTGAAATATGAGATTAAATTAATAACCGTAATTGAAGGAATTTACTTTCTAAGGAGTTTTTAAATGGGAGATTATTAAGTTTTATAAATTTAAATAAATTATTAGTCATTCATTCAGTTTTTTTAAGTGAATGAATGATAATTTTTGAGTAAATAAATAATTTTCAAAAGGAATTAATTAAAAAATTAATTAAATTACATGCTATTTTTTATAATATTAAAATTAATTAATTTTTTTGAAGTAAACTGATGAAAAGTGTTTACTTTCTTTTTCATAATATTTTTATTAGTTTTTATTAAAAACTTATTTTTTGAATTTACAGTTAGTTTTTTTCTTTTGGCAATTCATCTTTCTTTTCCTATATTTCAATAACATGTTACTTATCCTTCATTTTCAAGGTTGGCATCGTCATAATCTAAGGTCGGTTCATTAACTAATTCTAATATTATTATAATTTGGTTAATAAATCTTTAATGGTTTTTTCTTATTCATTAATTCTTTATTATTGTTAGAGATTTGTTTTCTATAATTCTTCTATTTTTGCCTCCTTTTTAAGTATTATTTTGAAAATATTGATGATATTTTGAATAAAATAGCTTAATTAACATATTATCTTTTTTCACGGTCTTCTTTTAACTCTTAGTTTAAGGTCTGTTCGTTTTTACTTTAAAAAATATAACAAAAAATAGAGTAAAATAAACAAACAAATAAATAAAAATACATGATTGGGTAAAACTTATTTGACAAATCTTTAACAAACTCGATTTCATTTTTGAGTGATCTTGTGAACTGTTGAATGTTTCCATCTATCGTCTCAATAAGCATTTCATCTAACTAAAATTCAAAAGAAATAATTCCCTTTAAAATAATTAAAGCCTCCTTAATAGGCATTCTATCCTTTGGAACAAAATTAGTTAATCCATCAATAATATATTTAAGCTATTTGTGATAAACAAAATTTTAAAATTCACCATCATATTTTAATGGTTTGTGCTTATTTTATGCTAAACTGAAATCTATTCCCTAGACAAGTGTATATATAAGATACCCTTTTTAATAATTTATTTTTTTAAATAAAAACAAATAATATATTTTTTATTTCATATAATACCTAAAGAGCATGCTTCACTCTGTTTAAATTAATAAATAAGAATAATATTAATTAGCTTTTAGACAAATAATTTAAATAAAATATTTACTCTGTTGCTTGGCTATTATCTCACACTGACTCCTAATTTTTAATATTCATCATGATAAACCTTACCTATGAATGGATCTGCTGGGTCAAAACACTCTGGTGCTTGATACAAGAAGTTTCCCATCTTTAATTTTTTCAATTGAATTATTTGAATATCTCTTTCATATGATAAAAATATGAGTGCATACATATTGATTCATAGCATAGCCAGATTTGTTTATTAGGTTATCTGCCAAACCAAAATCAGCTATATAAAATATATAAAATCAATCAATCAAGCATGTTTAGATTTGTTAAAAATTTACAAACAACTGCATTTCCATGATAGTCAATTAAGATATTATCCATTTTCAGATCATTAACAAGGCAGCTCTTAGAGTGAATGTAGTAGAGACCTTGAGCAATGTCGTTAGCGTATTTGATTGCTGATATTTCATTCAGTCTTTTGTTTTAGTTCCTTTCTAAAATCTAGGTGAGAGTTCCTTATTATTTATAGCATTTAATTTTGCATTAAAGACTTTCAATAAAGCGGTTTGATTAATTAATTTAAAAAAGAAATGAGTATTATTTGTACCTTAACACTCAGTTAGAACTAAGTAACTAAATTGTTATCCCTCAAATTAATCTATAAGACTGACTACATAAGGAGAGTCTCTACATTTTTTGAGAATTTCTACTTCTTGTTTCACTCGATTGTTAAGATCTTCGTCAAGATTACCTTGAGGATCTCTAACTTAAACACCTTTGATGGCATACCTCATGTTAGTTTTCGAATCTTTTGCTAACAAAACTAATCCCTATACTCCCTGTCCTAAAAATCTAAAATCAGAGTAGCCTTTTTTACTTAATTCGCTTTTCATAGTCTAATAAATTGAAGCTTAATAAGGTTTTAACTTAGGTTCTTAGATATCAGAAACTTTTGTTAAAATTCAGATAAAATTTGATTGGAACCAAGACAGGCAAAAGGTAAATTATTAAATGGATGGTTTGATTTTTATTTTTACAGATTAAACATTTAAGTTTGTTTTAATAATATCTACATACAAGTTTTATTTAATATTTCAATATTTATAATGAATTATCAGTCTATTCATAAATTATTAAAATTAATTTAAATATTTTTTACTGACTAACTCAGGCTTATCGAGCATTTAGACACCTTTCATTCGGTACATCTCTTTGACTTTTTTCCTTTTTTGAAGATGCAAAGCAAGGTTATATTTAGCTTCTTAGTATCCTACAAGATTTTAGCTGATTTTATTCATTTTTTAATATCTCAATATTTTTTTTTCTAGCAAATTAATTGAATTAATTAATTATGTGCCAATAAGCAAAATTTATTAAGTTTTTAAATGTTTATTTTTTGTTAAAATCTGATTTAAATTAATTAAATTATTTGTAAAAAGAATATTTGATAAATCAAAATATTCTTTCATAAAAATTGTAATAATACGCATTAACTATTAAATCATATATAAATAAGATTTAAATATCCCAACTTGTCATCATCTCAATCACGAAATTATACAAAGTGATGTAATTAATAAAATGAGTAGGCTAATGAGCGTAAAATAAAGCAACAAAGAATACAAAATAACAATTCATTCATAGCTTTAGTAAAACATAGAAGTAAAGAAGCTTAAAACTTAATAAATTGTTAGTCATTACTGAAGTAATTGACCATAAAATCAGTTTTCTATTTTAAACTAAATAATATTTATCATTAAAAAGGTTTATTAATGCCTTCATAAGTAAAAATAAGAATAAATGTCACAACAATTTTAAAGTACCAAAACTAATACATATTTTATAACATAGATAACTAAATAATTGAAGCTTAGAAGTAAAACTTTTTGCAAATTTTGCTGTAAAAAACAATACATATTAAGACTATAAACAGATGTTAGTATTCTCTTGCCTAATTTCTAAACCAGAGCTTATTAAAAGTCCCTTTTCTTTAATAAATAAAATTTAAAAATGTTCAAGCATTATCTTATTTTCAAATATTAAGAGCCAATCAACAAAGCACATATATAATTGCTTAAATAGATACAATAAGTAACATATATTAGATAAAATACCTTACCATTTTTTTACAATAACAGCCAAAAGTAGGTAAATAATAAATAGCGAAAAAAGCCGAATACTTTTCATATTCTTTGAATTTTCATTTAAAAATTCATTTTTGAGCAGATAACAAAAATATTTTTAGTTTTGAATAACCAGTAACTTGAAAAATATGCAATAAAAGCTAAGCAAATAAATATTTTTTCTAGCTTAAAGCTACTGTAAAGTTAGAAGCTAACTAGCTATAAATAAGCTGTATCTTTTACTGAAATATCCATAAAAGTCATATTAATAATATTGCACTGCACAACTTTATTTCTTATCTTGAATATGGTAAATCAACTATAAAAAAAGTTATTTTTAACTCGAATAATTTAATTATAAGAGCTTTGATATAATTATATGTACAACTATTTTATCATAATTTAGTTATGAAACCTACTATCCTCTAAGTATTCATTTTATTACAAGAAATGATCTTCTTTCTATATCAAAATTATATTAACATAGATAGCTATTAGAATATTGAATAGAATCTAAATTTTCTTCCTTTGTTATGATTAAATATCTATTTGATTTTTCTTTAAGTAGAGTTTTATTAAAATGAAAACACATTTATATCATAATTGAGGAAGCTCACATAAAATGAAATATTAGAATGCAAAATTTGAATAATCAATAAACAAATATGGATAAAAATAAATTTAAAAATTTTTAATGTGAATAACACTTACTTACAGGATTAATATTCTTGTGGTGGCGCTACCGCAAGAATTGTAATCTAGGAAGTGCTTTACTAATTTAATTGCTTTTTGTAATATTAATATTAAAATGAAATATCAAATTTTATAATTGTACATGTTTTAATTAAATAAATAATTTCAGAAATAAATTTTTTAATATATTATAGATTTTTATTTTATAATATTATAAATATACTAATTATTTTAAAAGAAAATATAAATTAATTGCTTTGTCAAGTACAAAACCTATTCTGATACTTTTTTTATTTGTTTTAAATTATTCAAAATTATATTTATATTTACTAATTTTTATTGAATAAGAAGTAGAAGATAATCAAAGATAAAATTTTTTACTTTTTTATAAACTTTATTTATTAATGAGTTTTATTAGATGTGACTAAATAAATAAATAATAAATCGCTTAATTGCTTAAGAATATTATTAAAAGTTAAATTATCCAACTATTTAACTTGTAACTTGAAATTTGATCACAAATACACTTTGAATGGAAATTTTTAATTTCAAAAACTAGGAATATTTATATTTTTTAAGCCTTTAATTCACCACTTTTTTACATATTACAATATTAAATTTTTTTCTTACTTCAAAAAAAAATGGTATTTTTGTTTTTATTTTTAAATTTATATTATTAGCCAGATAGATAACTTAAGTTAGTAAACAATTATTTTTAAATTGTTTTTAACTTGAATAATTCATTTTTTTTTCATTTAAAAAAAAAAAGAAATTAAAAGTTGAAGCTACAATCAATATAACATAAAATATATATTTCACAAATTCATATTATTTTTAATATTTGTTAATAGTAATTCAATTTATTTTTTACTTATAATAAACAAGCAAACAAACAAAAAAAAGAGTGTATTTCTGATTTCGTAAACTGTGTTGCCTGAATCTAACAAATATAATGAGGCTCATCACTATATTTTTGATTTTTTAATTTAATGAAAATTATAAATTTATTTATTTATTTGCAAAAAGATTAATTAATTAAATACCTTCTAATATTTTTATAACGTTTATTAAATCTCTCTTTTTTTAATAAAAACTTCTAATGTGTTATATTATTACCCTATTTATTTTATTCTAAGTTTTAGTAAAAAAGCTTAATTTGCTTATAAATAATTTTACTTTCTTTATAATAAGTTAATAGTAGATATTCATATATATGTTGGTTTCTTAATAGGGTTAATTATTACCAACTGTTTTAATTAAAACATTTCATGATTGTAATTCGTCCAAAGTTATTTAAAATATTACAATCTATTATTATTTTTAATTTTTTTTTTTTTCTTTTTCAATCACTCAAATATTTTACAATCTTGTTTAGAATTAACATAGTTAGTTAGTTACATTTTTTGATTACTTTCATAACTCTTACTCACTATTTTCATATTAAAAGTAACACATACTCTACATTAGTAACTTTCAAAAATATTACTATCTATTTCATACATTTTAATAAGTTTCGCTATCAAAATTATTCTTCTAAAATAAATATTACTGGCTGTAAATTCAAAATTAAACTTATTTTCCATCTTTATTATTTATCTTCTACAAATAATTACCATCTATTTTTCAAGAGATCATTTAATTCTATAATTTCTTATTATGAACTCTTATTAATAAATTTTACTCACTATTTCATATTTAGATTTTATTTTCTCATCAAAAATCATTTTAAAATATTAATTACTAGCTATTTTGAATATGAAAGTTAGTTAATTCAGCATTTATTTTATCATCAAAAATTATTCTAAAATATTAATTACCACCTATTTTGAATATGAAAGTTAGTTAATTCAGCATTTATTTTCTAATGAAAAATCATTCTAAAATATTAATTACGCACTATTTTAAATATGAAAGTTTCTTCAGCATTTATTTTCTCATTAAAAATCATTCTAAAATATTAATTACTCGCTATTTTGAATATGAAAGTTCATTTAGCATATCATTTCTCATCAAAAATCATTCTAAAATATTAATTACGGACTATTTTGAATATGAAAGTTAGTTAATTCGGCATTTATTTTCTCATCAAAAATCATTCTAAAATATTAATTACATGCTATTTTGAATATGAAGTTAGTTAATTCAGCATTTCTTTTCTCATCAAAATCATTCTAAAATATTAATTACATTCTATTTTGAATATGAAAGTTATTCAGTTTTTATTTTCTCATCAAAAATAATTCTAAAATATTAATTACTCCCTATTTTGAAAATACCTATTTTAAATATGAAAGTTAGTTAATTCAGCATTTATTTTCTCATCAAAAATCAATCTAAAATATTAATTACTAGCTATTTTGAATATGAAAGTTAATTCAGCATTTATTTTCACATCAAAAATCATTCTAAAATATTAATTACTAGCTATTTTGAATAATAAAGTTAATTCAGCATTTATTGTCTCATCAAAAATCATTCTAAAATATTAATTACTCGCTATTTTGAATATGAAAATTAATTCAGTATTTCTTTTCTAATCAAAAATCATTCTTAAATATTAATTACTTGCTATTTTGAATATGAAAGTTAGTTAATTCAGCATTTCTTTTCTCATTAAAAATCATTCTAAAATATTAATTACTCCCTATTTTTAATATGAAAGTTAGTTAATTCAGCATTTATTTTCTCTTCAAAAATCATTCTAAAATATTAATTACTCCCTATTTTGAATATGAAAGTTAATTCAGGATTTATTTTCTCATCAAAAATGATTCTAAAATATTAATTACATTCTATTTTGAATTTGAAAGTTAATTCAGCATTTATTTTCTCATCAAAAATTGTTCTAAAATATTAATTACTCCCTATTTTGAATATCAAAGTTAATTCAGCATTATTTTCTCATCAAAAATTATTCTATAATTACATTCTATTTTGAATACGAAAGTTAATTCAGCATTTATTTTCTCATCAAAAATTGTTCTAAAATATTAATTACTCGCTATTTTGAAAATCAAAGTTAGTTAATTCAGCATTGATTTTCTCTTCAAAAATCATTATAAAATATTATTTACTCACTATTTTGAATATAAAAGTTAATTCAGATTTATTTTCATTAAAAATCATTCTAAAATATTAATTACATGCTATTTTGAATATGAAAGTTATTCAGGATTTATTTTCTCATCAATCATTCTAAAATATTAATTACATGCTATTTTGAATATGAAAGTTAGTTAATTCAGCATTTCTTTTCTCATCAAAATCATTCTAAAATATTAATTACAGTCTATTTTGAATATGAAAGTTATTCAACATTTATTTTCTCACCAAAAATTGTTCTAAAATATTAATTACTGCCTAATTTAAATTTAAAGTTGATTGAAAATAAGATAATAATAAAAATTTTAGAAAAATAACTTGCTATTAAGGATATATAAAATTCTAAGTAGGTCTACTATAAGATGATAAAATTACCTGCTAATAAATATAATAAAGTAAAATATGCTTAATTTTTTAAAAAACAAATATAAAAGTTTACTGGCTATTAGAAATGTAAAATATGCTAGATATTCTAATAAATAAAGTAAGGAATTTTACTAGATCTTTTGGTTAAATGAAAGTTAAGCTCTGTTTAAATTTAAAGTTAAGTTATGGTTTGTAAAATTAGAACAATGAATGATTGTATGTTTGTTACTTGCTTTTTTAAATAAATAGGAAAATAAATATCTCTTGATATTATCTCGTAAAAAAATTACCCACTATTTATTTTAAGTTTTAATGTGTATTTTTAAGTTAGAATTAATTGAACTATTTTATTACATTCTATTTTATTAATTTTAATTTATTATTTCATCTATCTTGCTAAGATTATGAAATGTCAATAAAAAAAATTACTGTCTATTATTTATTTTTAATAAAACAAAATATAATATCAAGCCAGGATAACTAGATTGATCTTTACTTCTTCCTATTTAAGTCATTTTATTTGAATATTTCAAAGTAATAAAATTAAAAGTTACCAATCTCTTATTTTAAAGTTGAAGATATTTTAGAATATTCTGATAAAATATCATTCAATGATTATACTTTCTATAATAGAAAAAAATAATTTAATATTCATTTTAGAGTGGTATTTAACATAAAAGCTTTACTTCCTATTTAGAACATTTCGTTTTCTTCTTATTTAAAATTATTCAAAAATTTTACTCACTATTAATAGGTTAAATAAATAAGTAAGTAAAGTATTAATAGAAAAAAATAAAAGTTTTACTAGCTATTTTATTGAGGTAGTTAATGAATGAATATATATATGTCTGTCTATAAGAAAGTAAGTGTAAATATTACAATCTTTTTCAAAATTAAAATGAATTGATTATTTATTATTTGATCAAATCAGTCTGAAAGTAATAAATAAATACATCATCCTATTAATTAATTAACGGTTAATTTAAAACTATAAATCTGATGTGATTAAAGATTATTAATTATTACATCCTATTTTATTTATTTATTTAATATAAGTTTTATTTTCTAATATAAATAAATAAATTATTTACTTCCTAATTAATGTTTTATTCAATTTTTTAATGCTATATTTTTGTTTTTCTTAATATTTTACCCATTTCTTGTATTTAAGTTATAATTTTAATTTATATTTGAATAATCTTTAAAAGCACTTTAATATATTACTCGCTATTTTAATTATCAATTTAATTTTTAAATTTCTGAATAAATGTTTAATTTCATTACTACTTCCTTTTTGTGATGTTTAAATTACTTTTATTTCTCTAAAATTTATTTAAAATTATTTACAACCAATCATCCCTTATTAAAAATAATTTATTTAGCTTCTTTTAATAAAAATATTCAAAATATACCATCTATTTTAATTATTTAATGCAATTCATCTTATTTATTTAAATTAGTATCTAACTAATATTTACTTGCTTTTTTATATTTAAATAATTTTTAGATTATTTTTAATCAAAGATAATATTTACATCCTATTTAAAACCATATAGATCTTTTTATTCACTGTTTTAAAATCAAAAGATTACCATCTATTTTTAAATATTAATGATACAATAATTTTAATTTATAAATATTGTAAGTAAATTTATACCCACTAATTCATACAATCAATAAATTCATTTTTTCACTATCTATACTTCTAAATCACAAATATTATATTACATCCTTTTCAAAATTGTATATAACTCATTTACTTACTATCATTTATTTCACTAAAATTATTACGCGTCCCTGTAAATACTAAATAATTTAAATCAGAAATTTCAAAAAAATTAATAAAATAAATAATATTACTCTCTAATAGATTATTTAGAAAATTATTTATAAATCATTGTTTAAAATATTGATTACTATCTATTTTGCAATAATATAACTAACTTATTGACCTCTTCCATATATATATTTTACACTCTATTTTAAATATCAAAGTTAATTCTGTATTTATTTTTTTTCTCATTCAAAATTTTAAAATATTAATTACAAGCTATTTGAATATGAAAGATAACTCAGCATTTATTTTCTCATAAAAAGTCATTCTAAATTATTAATTTTACATCCTATTTTGAATATTAAAATTAGTTAATCCAGCTTTTATTTTCTGGTTAAAAATAATATTATATACAAGAAATAGGTATAATATTAAAATATCTTAAGTTAGAGCAAATAATACAATGAAATCTTAATATTTAATTCAAATTAATTTTATTTTTTAAATTATTTTGGTTAAGATAGCTATTTTATCTTTAAATTAAAAGATAATAAAATTGTAAGTAGATAAAACATGACTTCAAAATGATCATTAATTTATTAAAATTTATTTATTTAAAATTAAAAAAAAAATGTTAAAAATATTCTAGATTCATTGTATTTACAATATATTTTATCAGAATCTAAAATCTTCAAATTTTTATTTTTACTTTTTTGAAGAATCTAGAATATTTATTTTTTATAATATCCACAAATTTTTTAAATTTTATAATCTAGAATATTTAAATTATTAGATTATAATAATTTACAATAAAAAATATTCTAAAATATCAGATACAACAACCACTTAATATAAGATATCTTAAGATTATGCAGATATCTTGTATAGAATCCAAAAATCATTCTAAAATATTAATTACCCACTATTTTGAATATGAAATTTAGTTAATTCAGCATTTATTTTCTCATCAAAAATCATTCTAAAATATTAATTACATTCTATTTTGAATATGAAAGTTAATTCAGTATTTCTTTTCTAATCAAAAATCATTCTTAAATATTAATTACTATCTATTTTGAATATTAAAGTTAATTAATTCAGCATTTCTTTTCTAATCAAAAATCAATCTTAAATATTAATTACTTGCTATTTTGAATATGAAAGTTAATTTGAGCATTTTGTAATAAAAACTTTACACACTATTTTGAATATAAAAGTAAATATTTGAGATTTTGTGATAAAAACTTTACATGCTATTTTGAATATAAAAATAGATTTCGTATTTTTTAAGGAAAGGACAAGTGATTACAATCTATATTAGAAAAATAGATGAATTAAGAAATAGTTGTTAATAAAAATGTAACCCTCTAAAAGAATATGATTATGAATTTTTATGATCATGATTTTCAAAGTTATTTACTTCCTTTTAAATAAAAAAATTTTGGATATGTTGAAATTGACTGAATAAAATTATATCTTTTCTTGTGTGCTAAAATAGGTAAAGGTAATTTAAAAAGGAGAAGAATAATTAAAGAGTGATAAATATACTTGCTATTCAAATATTAGATTAAATTAAATTAATAGCCTTAATTGAAGGAATTTACTTTCTAAGGAGTTTTTAAATGGATTATTATTAAGGTTTTATAAATTTAAATAAATTATTAGTCATTCATTCAGTTTTTTTAAGTGAAAGATAATTGTTTAGTTAATAAATAATTTTCAAAAGGAATTAATTAAAAAATTAATTACATGCTATTTTTTATAATATTAAAATTAATTAATTTTTTTGAAGTAAAATAAATGATGAAAAGTGTTTACTTTCTTTTTCATAATATTTTTATTAGTTTCTATTAAAAACTTATTTTTGAATTTACAGTTAGTTTTTTTCTTTTGGAAATTCATCTTTCTTTTCCTATTTTTTAATTTCTTAAAATATAACATGTTACTAGTCCTTCATTTTCAAGGTTGGCATCGTCATAGTCTAAGGTTGGTTCATTAACTAATTCTAATAATATTCTAATTTGGTGAATAAATCTTTAATGGTTTTTTCTTATTCATTAATTCTTTATTATTGTTAGAGATTTGTTTTCTATAATTCTTCTATTTTTGCCTCCTTTTTAAGTAGTATTTTGAAAATATTAATGATATTTTGAATAAAATAGCTTAATTAACATATTATCTTTTTTCACGGTCTTCTTTTAACTCTTAGTTTAAGGTCTGTTCGTTTTTACTTTTAAAAATATAACAAAAAATAGATTAAAATAAACAAACAAACAAATAAATATACATGATTGGGTAAAACTTATTTGACAAATCTTTAACAAACTCAATTTCATTTTTGAATGAACATGTGAACTGCTGAGTGTTTCCATCTATCGTCTCAATAAGCATTTCATCTAACTAAAATTCAAAAGAAATAATTCCCTTTAAAATAATTAAAGCCTCCTTAATAGGCATTCTATTCTTTGGAACAAAATTAGTTAATCCATCAATAATATATTTAAGCTATTTGTGATAAACAAAATTTTTAAATTCACCATCATAATTTAATGGTTTGTGCTTATTTTATGTAAAACTCAAATCTATTCCCTAGACAAGTGTATATATAAGATACCCTTTTTAATAATTTATTTTTGTTAAATAAAAACAAATAATATATTTTTTATTTCATATAATACCTAAAGAGCATGCTTCACTCTGTTTAAATTGATAAATAAGAATAATATTAATTAGCATTTAGACAAATAATTTAAATAAAATTTACTCTGTTACTTGGCTATTGTCTCACACTGACTCCTAATTTTAAATATTCATCATGATAAACCTTACCTATGAATGGATCAGCTGGGTCAAAACACTCTGGTGCTTGATACAAGAAGTTTCCCATCTTTAATTTTTTCAATTGAATTATTTGAATACTTCTTTAATATGATAAAAATATGAGTGCATACATATTGATTCATAGCATAGCCAGATTTATTTATTAGGTTATCTGCCAAACCAAAATCAGCTATTTTATATAAAATCAATCAAGTAGGTTTAAATTTGTTAAAAACTTACAAACAACTGCATTTCCATGATAGTCAATTAAGATATTATCCATTTTCAGATCATTAACAAGGCAGCTCTTAGAGTGAATGTAGTAGAGACCTTGAGCAATGTCATTAGCGTATTTGATTGCTGATATTTCATTCAGTCTTTTGTTTTAGTTCCTTTCTAAAATCTAGGTGAGAGTTCCTTATTATTTATAGCATTTAATTTTGCATTAAAGACTTTCAATAAAGCGGTTTGATTAATTAATTTAAAAAAGAAATGAGTATTATTTGTACCTTAACACTCAGTTAGAACTAAGTAACTAAATTGTTATCCCTCAAATTAATCTATAAGACTGACTACATAAGGAGAGTCTCTACATTTTTTGAGAATTTCTACTTCTTGTTTCACTCGATTGTTAAGATCTTCGTCAAGATTACCTTGAGGATCTCTAACTTAAACACCTTTGATGGCATACCTCATGTTAGTTTTCGAATCTTTTGCTAACAAAACTAATCCCTATACTCCCTGTCCTAAAAATCTAAAATCAGAGTAGCCTTTTTTACTTAATTCGATTTTCATAGACTAATAAATTAAAGCTTAATAAGGCTTTAACTTAGGTTCTTAGATATCAGAAACTTTTGTTAAAATTCAGATAAAATTTGATTGGAACCAAGACAGGCAAAAGGTAAATTATTAAATGGATGGTTTGGTTTTATTTTTAGAGATTAAAAATTTATTAATATCTTTATGCAAGTTTTATTTAATATTTCAATATTTATAATTAATTATCAATCTATTCATAAAAAATAAATATTAATTTAAATATTTTTTACTGACTAACTCAGGCTTATCGAGCATTTAGACATCTTTCATTCGGTACATCTCTTTGATTTTTTTCCTTTTTAGAAGATGCAAAGCAAGCTTATATTTAGCTTCTTGGTATCCTACAAGATTTTAGCTAATTTTATTCATTTTTTAATATCTCAATATTTTTTTTTTCTAATAAATTAATTGAATTAATTAATTATATGCTAATAAGCAAAATTCTTTTAGTTTTTAAATGTTTATTTTTTGTTAAAATCTGATGTAAATTAATTAAATTATCTGTAAAAATAATATTTGACAAATCGAAATATTCTTTCATAAAAATTGTAATAATACGCATTAACTATTAAATTTTTTATAAATAAGATTTAAATATCCCAACTTGCCAACATCTTAATCACGAAATTACGCAAAATGACATAATTTGACAAATCAAAATATTCTTTCATAAAAATTGTAATAATACGCATTAACTATTAGATTATTTAAAAATAAGATTTAAATATCTCAACTTACTGTCATCTCAATCACGAAATTATGCAAAATGACATAATGAATAAAAGTAGCAGAATGATGCGCATAAAATAAAGCAAGAAAGAAAACAAAATAATAATAAATTCATAGCTTTAGTAATTAATACAAACAAGTAAAAAGCTTAGAACTTAAATTGTTAGTCATTATTGAAGTAATTGGCAATAAAATCAGTTTTATATTTAAAACTTAATAATATTTATCATTCATTCAAATTTATTAATGCCTTCATAATCGTAAAAATATGAATAAATGGCACAATAATTTTAAAGTAGCAAAACTAACATATAACTTATAACAAAGATAACTAAATAAATGAAGCTTAGATGTAAAACTTTTAGCAAATTTTGTTGTAAAAAACAATAATTTGTAAGACTATAAACAGATATTAACATTTTCACACCTAATTTCTAGACCAGAGCTTATTAAAAGATCCTTTACTTTAATAAATAAAATTTAAAAATATTCATTCATTATATTATTTTAAAATAATAAGAGCCAATCAACAAAGCACAAAAAAGGTATTTTCAATTAAAAAGTACACTTTTCAACATTAAAATTTCATGTTCTTTGATAATAAACGAAACTTTTTTGAAGTAAATCATATGAAAGTTTTTAATTTGTATTAATATATATAGACATTATTGTTGAAAAATAAATTATAGTTATATTAATTTTTAAAATATTAGAAATTTAAATAATACTAAATATATTATACGTTTTTTTTTGATAGAAACCAATCTGAACCAAATATTTTTTATTAAATATTACGAAAGAGTGTGTTTGAAAACATAGAAGCAAAAAAATTTTGATCTTTAAATTTGAACTTTTCATAGAAAATTTTGTAAATATTAATACATTTCATCAAAAAAAAATTGAATTTTTGAGAAACCCATAATTTTTGATTAATTGATAATATATAGTGTATTTTTTATTAAAAATGAATGGATATTTTATATTTTTGAAGACCTTCCACATAAATTTTTGAAATTTTCACTACATAAATTTATTTATTAAAAATAACCAAATTAAGGAAACTATCATAATATATATAATTAAAATTTAAATAATTATTTTTATAAATCTATTATTTATTTTTTATAATTTATTTATTATTATTGACGTATTGCTATATATCTATAAAACATCAAATTTAATTAATTATATTATTCATCATAATTTATTTCAGAAATCTAATTCTACCAAACGCTTTGAGAATGTAGGTCCTTATATATCGATAGGATTAATGATATCATGTCTTTTTTGTTGAATTTCAATAGTACTTATGCATTTAATTACTTTTTAAACAGCCTTACCAACTACTTCTGCGGCTTTTACTACTGAATCTACAGCTTTTTTGACAAAATTTGATATTGAAGAGAACCATCCTAAATTTCTTCTTCTCCTGCTAAAATCGCATGACATTTTTTCCAAACTAAAAATAGTCTTGTAATAAATACCAATTTTGATATGATAGGGTTTAAAACTTCCATCTATATAAAATGAACCTTTAAACTATTTATAAAAAACAAATTTTTAATTTATTTCATTAATTATGTGCTAATAAAATGTGCAATTTTTAATATGAAAGAATAGAAAAAGTAAAAAATAACCATTTGAATAAAAGATCATTTTAAATGATAAATAAGTGAATAAAAGTCAAATAAAAGAAAAAGAAAATGTTAATACCTTTTCTAGAACTTTGAAGTTTAGGCCTAGCATAAGAGAAGTTTCAAGGAAAATACCTTCTGCATATCCACCTACTTCTGCTACATAAGCACTAGCTCCTACTTCTCCTCCTATTGTTACTCTAGTAGAAACTCCTGCACCAAGATCAAGGATAGCATTTTTTAAGCCTATTTTGAATTATAATGAAGTATCCCAACTAGCATATAGCCTTAATATAAGACTTATTCCTATAGGAGTAGGATACATGTAAGTGTATTGGAATGGTATTTTTAGAGCTTTATAATAAGAAAAATATTATTAATTGAGTTTTAAAACGGTAAGTAAATATTGCTCAAAAAAAAGAAAGAGTAAAAAAATTACTATAAGGCTCGATTATTTTTTCAAAATCTGCTTCAGCTGCAAGCTTTTCAATAAGGCTTTAGAATAACTTGTTGACATCAAAGCTTTATTTTTGAACATCTTCTTTATAAGTTTCAAGTTCGTTGTTTTACAAACCAGTAATATCTTGATTTAATTCTGAAACAACTTCTTGATTTAGACTTTTATTGTATTCATCTTCAAATGTATCTTATATTTATTATGTAATTTCAGTCTTAGAATCTTCAAACAAACCTCTAATATCATTCCAAGCTTACTTCTGATCAACGTAGATACCAGTAATAGAAAGTTTAATTTGACCAAAATAGTTCATACACTGTTTGCCTAGAAGCTTTAGGTCATCAACAAATGTCTAAAATTTGTTTGGAATTCCGGCGAATCTTTTAAAAGTCTATCCTATTCCTGCATAATTGTAGGTAACAATAGCCTAAACAGATTCTGCAATATCTTTTATTTCGTCAAATAGAGGAGTCTATTTATTTAAATAATTTTTTTAAATATAATTAATTAATAATTAATTTTTTTACCTAATAAAATTTTGGATCATTATCATCAGGCTAAGGAGTTTTTGATACAAAATCCTTGAGGTCAGAGAACATGCCTTTTAAATCATCAAGAATATTTTTACTGTTTTCGAACACGTTATTTTTCAATTTAATAATATCGTCTTTCATTTTAATAGCAGCACTTTTAGCTTTTGAAACAGTTTCCTTTCCTTATTTAGCTAACTCAACAACTAAATCTTTAGGGAATTGACTTACTTGTTTAAATAAGCTTTTAATCAATGTAAGAATTCTCTTTTCTTGAAGTTTCCTTATTGTTTTAACTATATCTTATACATCTTACTTCAATTCTTTGATTCCAGTTGTTAGGTCAAAATTAAAGTTATAAATTTCTTAGAATGAATTTAAAAAGGCTTAAATTTCATTACTTGGACTATCTGAATTAGATTCAGGATATTTTGTCTTAAGGTCTTGAAGCTTCTGATAAATCTCTTATTTCATACCATTAACAGATTATTTTATAACTTTAAACATTTAATCTGATACTTCGTGTTACTCAGAAATGGTTTTAACAACCTTGCTGATAATAGATTTAATTGTATCAATAACGTAAGAAGATCCTATTACTTCTTTGAATTTTTTTTAAGTTTCTTAAGCGTTTTAAGGTACATCCTAAGTTGAGACATATTTATCAACTTCGCTGATAGAGCCAAATATCACATTAATTTACTTTAAAGCAAAATCTTCTACTACATCAAGATACTATTAAAGAGGTTAAAAAACTATTTGCTCCAATAAATCTTCAAGATTTTCCAAAATCAGCTTGATTTATTCTTCTACACCAGCAGGGAGACCTTTAGTCTATGAGTCTATAAGTTTTTTGGTTTCTGTTAGCTTATCAACAAGAAGATTTTGAATATAATTCATTTAATTTTCAATTATCATATTTTTTCTAGATAAAAATCCTAAAATTTTTTCCTTCAAATTATCTAATGGATCCTTGATAAGTTTGCTGATGGTAGTGACTGAAGCTTAAAGGACCTGCTCAAACTTAGAAATTAAATCAAAAATTTATAGTTCATCATTGTTCACAACATCATAAATAACTTTCAAAAGAGGATTTTTTTCTACAGTAATTACAGTTTCGAAATCATCCATTAATTTATCTATGCTGTTTTTAATTCTTGTAAGTCTTCCAGTTACATTTTCTTTGACTATATCAAGTTTATCTTTAACAACATGCTAGATGTACTGATAGAGTTTCAGAATTTTAGATACATTAACTTTGGCTATTCATAAAAAACAAAATTATTACTTACTTTCTATTCATATAAAAAAAAAATTACTTTATCTCTCTATAAGCTTAACAGAAGCACCATTAAAGAAACTGTAAAGACCAACTGAGCAAATATCTTCTTTGCTCACAAGTCCAGAATCATTACACTCAGATCTTACATCAGCGCCAAATTCGAATGAAGCAACATTCTTTCTGAAAATAGGTTTTTAAATAGGTGGAGATAGATTAGAATTTTTTTCAGCAAGTAATCTGCTGCCAGTAACTTTTTCACCATCTAAATCTGTTTAGGATTCACCATCTTAAGTAGAAGTGTTAAAAACAGTGTTATAAGTGTCTATAGCTTCGTCATATGTTTGAGAAAGAACACTCATACCGTCAAAAGTAGTCATAATTAAATTGATAAAGTTATCATTAACTTCATCTTCCTAGCTCACAAAAGATATTTTGCATTCAGAGTTCATTTCTATACCTTAGAACAAAGGCATATCTTCATTTTCTTCAACTTTATTGTCTTCAATCTTAAAGTCAGATTTAGCTTTACTTTCAAGAAGAGCACCATTTTAGATAACAGAGTCTTAACTGTAGTTTGATTTTTGTGTGGAATCATTGTCGTTAATCTTATTTTATTCATATTATTTGTTTAGATTTGCTTAACCATTTTTATCAATATTAGCCTAAAGTTCTGGTTAAACTTTTTCACCACTCAAAATTCTTTATTCGTAATTTAAAAGCATTCTTCTCTTATTTCCATTTTGATCAGTAATCTTATATAAGTCACTTTAAACAATAGGTGTAACCTGTTCAATTATATTTAAATAAACCTAAAAGATGTCTAAACGTAAGTTGATAGGTTATTATATTGATTTGACTCTACTATTCTTATCCAAAGTGAATTAAATTATAGGGTATCTCGAAGAGTAAAATTAATCAGCAGAAATACCTTTCGAAGCTAGTAGTTTTATTTCTTATTCATTTAAAGGAGCGTATTCATTTTCGAGAGATTTATCTGATTCCTCAGTCAAGAATTCATTGCCTTCACGCATACCATCTTCAGGATCTTTTGAATAAATAAAAAATAACAGATTAAAATATTTTGAAACAAAACATATTTGATTAAATTAATGAAGATATTTATTAAAATTTACTTTAAGCTTGTTGTAAATTTCTCTTAGCTCCAGCTGCAATTTCTTTTTCATAAATTTTGGGGAATCCTGTTAGTTAACTGTTAAGCTTGTCATTTTCATACATTTTAGTATCAATAATATAGATAAACATTTTAAACTCATCTTTTGTTACATCAGAGCATAGCAAACCAAATTAGTGAACAATTAGCGAGTTAGTTACTGATTTCTAACCATCTCCTGATATTGTAGTTTAATTATTGTAAAGTTTATATTCATAAATTTTCTAGCTTTTTGGAACATGAATAATCTTGACTAAGTTATTTTCTTAACCGTGATCAACAGTTGATTTATATTTAGCATAATTTGCAGGTATTTTAATTACTTCTTAAAAATCGCTTTGATTATTCGATTTTAGAGTTAAGGCCAAAACAACACCTAAAATTACACCAATAGCGAGTAAAATTGCTAAGCCGATAAACCACTTCTTTTTAGAAGAATTGACCTTCACAGTAACTATATTTTAGTTAGCTTGAGTATTTTCTGCAAAAAATGGCAAAGCATTGTTTTCTTGATTAAAAGCTATTTATTATAAAAAAATAAATTTTTATTAAAATGGCAAATAGGCTTTTTTATTTTTTGAATAATAATTCATTTTAAAATAAATAAATGAATGAGTGAGTGAATTTTTGAACGATAAATTTAGTTAATTTATGACTATTTGATTAAATTTTTTCAATAACAGCGTTTATTAATTATTTAATTTGTTATTATTGTTTAAAAGTTGATAAATATAGATAGATATTAATGTATCATTCCTAGTAAATGTTTATTTGTGGTAATATAATAAACTATATTGATGATTCAGAAACAAAAAATTGAATTGTTTTTGTAAGTATAAATTTTAATAAAATTTTTAATAAAATCTCAATTCAAGCATTTGAGTAAGAGTCAGAAAGAGATAGTTTTAAAAATAAATAAAAAAAGTTATTTGTGAATTTTTGAGTTAAATAAAAGTAAGTTTTCAAAGTAATTTAAAATTCAATTAGGAATTAATTGACAAAAGGAAAAATTATATATGTATGTTAATAAGTATAATTAGTTACCATTGAGACTACAAATATTGCTCTTTGAAGGTTATTAGCTTTGATTCATCTAATTTTCATCTTCAATTTTATTCAAATTTTAATCATCAGCAGGAGGTTTTCCAAGTATGATCAAAGGAGGATTTCCTTAAGGCGGTTTATCACCAATTTATATGTTTCTATTTTAATCCATTTAGCTTTATTATTTTATTTTTTTTAATTTTTAATAATAAAATCCTTCACTTTGAAGCATAACATATATACTAATTTGAAAAATTGAAGATTTAAGTTTTAGCCTGAGTTTTTCTTTAGTAATAGCAATAGAAAAAGATAGAGAAATCAATTATGTATTGACTTCATAAAAATCGATATATGATACTTAATTTAGTAAATTAGTACTTTATTTATTTATATTGTATGTAAACAGTAAATTTATTTAAGTAAGATAATTGCTATAAATAGAAAACTTGTTTAATTGAAAGAATCCATTTTGAATTTAATTAAGAATTAATTAATAGATAAGTAATTTTAAGCTTTCATATGTTATTTTTTCAACCAGCAACTTTGATAAAGTAATCTATATATAATGAACCAGTGCTATTGATTAAAGCATATAAAAGAAATTGTTTAGTCTATTTGAATTAAATGATTTATCAAAAGTATTTTTATGTAAGAAAAATAAGTTTTTAAAAATATAATGTTTCAGCTACTTTTATCTCACAATTAACTTTTTTATTTTCCCAAAAATGAGCATTGTTTGCTCTCATTAGATGTTCATTCTAATTAATTTTCTTTTTAATAGTTTATTCAAATTAATGAATTCAAAAGTAGATAGATATTTATGTTAAAATTAATTAAACCTCAGTAGATGAACTTGTTAATAAATTAATTACAAGTATCTATTTTAAATATGAATCTTAAACAACTGTAACAGTAATAATAAAAAAACAATTATCAATAAAATTCATTTTTCTAAGTGCTATTTTTGAAATTATCTTTAAAAAAATGTTTTTTTTCATAGATTTAAATGAGTTATTAAAGTAAATTTTTATAATAATTTCTCACACGCGCAATAATATATTGTAGTACATATTAATTTTTAATTTTTAATTCACGCAATTTATCAAATTCAAAGAAAATCTAGCTTTAGTAAGTATTTAATGGACCATCATTGAGAAACAAAATGATATTAAACAGATACCTGTTGTTTATTAACATAATTCCTCAATAATATATAAAATCTTACATACATACTGTTATAAGGAATTCATTATGTATAAATATTTTTTTTAATTTTTATAAAATATATTATATGAGAATACATTAATACATACTATCAATCTTCATTAACTAAGGAAATTCCCTAAAATAAATTTCTAAATTTTGATAGAAAAAACCTAAAAAAACATTTTCTGATTGAAGGGAGAGCTGAGTGTGTTAACAAATGATTATTTACAGAACATTAAGTATAATATTAACAAATGATTATTTATAGAGTATTAAGTATAATATTAACAAATGATTATTTACAGAATATTAAGTATAATAATATTAACAAAATCAGTAAATAAGTTGATGTATAGAAAATTCTTTAGAACTAAGTAAATCTAATAAAAAAATAATTAATAACATGAAATTTGGGGTATTAAATGCTTTTTTTAAAATTTATGTATTTCCTTCTATTAATAGTAGATTACCTAGACTTAAGAAGATAGTAAATTAATTAGGTATTAGTTGATTTATCCATTTATTTATTTTCTTTATAATTTAGTAATAGCTCAATTAAATGAGTGAATGATATTTATTGAACCAGTAATAAAATTAGTACTTTTAGAAATTAAATAGAGTTTATACTCTATTTTTAATATTTAATAAATAAATCTTCACTCACTATATATTTTGATTGCTTTGAATATTAATTTAAAGGAATTTATTTATATCATTCAAAGTTTCTTGTTTAGTTTAGGAATTACTGATATACTCTTCAAAAAATCTTAAAAACTTTCAAAAAGAAGCTTAATATTTTTTCTAGTTTCTTAATTAAATTTTAAGTAAGCGTTTTTAAATCCATAAATATTTATTTATTATAGCTTTATAATTAGGAAATTAGAAATTTACATCTTATTTTTTATTTACTCACACTCTATCATATACTGAAGATATTTCTATTTAAGTTCTAATAAATCATAATTCCTATTTCATGTTAAGTGAATGTAGATTTTCAAGTAATTTAAGTATCTAAAGTCATAATTAAATTAAATAAAACAAATAATAAAAAAGAACAACTTAAAAATAAAGATCAAATAAAATATATTAATCAACTCTCAAATTTGACTGTTAATCTATAAATAGGATTTTTCTCAATAAAAATCTTTTAAAAATGAAACTATTCACTCTTTCTAAATCTTTGGTAGAAAGAAACTTCAACTAAATAGCTCTAACTATTCTTCTTGTTTTGTGTTTCTAAGGAATCAGAGCTTAGACAACGAAAACACTAAAAGAATTCTTGGACTAAGATGCATGTTAGATTAATTATGGATCAGCTCTTTCAGCTTAAATTGCTTCTTTTTCTTAAAAATTTTACAGTTGCAGCTACCTTAATGAAAACATTGAGGATTATGAAAAAAAATTATCTTCTTTAAGCGAGAAATAATTGAATGTTTATGAAGTTTATAAAGCATTTCAATCAACTTCTAAAAGGCTTAAGCTATAGTATGGAAAATCTAACTTACCAGAATACTTTTTATACAAACAATTCACCCTTAGAGACTCCTCCTGTGGTGATCGTAATATTGTTGAAAAACTGGGAAACAGCTTTAATGATTGTAATTTTTGTGTATAAACTGCCTATTGCGACAAAAATTAAGAAGAATAAAATGAAAATACTAATGTAAATAATTATTTTATTACTTTAATCTTTATTTTCTCAATAAGTTTGTCTGTAAACAATGAACTTGCAAACTATCTTTAAATGAGTTACTATATTACTCCTCTCAAAAAAAAAACAATTTAATACAAATAAAAATTGAAAGTTAAAAGAATTTTTTTTAAAAATTATTAAAAGTTCATCGGTCCATTGTAAGTGTATCCCCCCCATAAAACCTTTATTGAAGCATTCTAAATTCTATGGAATTGCAATAACCCTAATAATTAAGTTGAAGTAACAGGTAACTAATATATTTTTAACCATCTTATAATCTTTGTATAATATCTATTGATGATATCAATATTTATTTCTACTATTTCAAATAAATCAGTAGACAACAAGGCTGATTTAAAATTTTAAAATATTCTATTTATTTTTTTAAGATAAGCAATTTTTATGTATGGAAACATTAATTACCAGAAACAAATTTTTTGATTTCTTAATTTTTCTTATTTTATTAATCAAACTATAATAGGAAAATACGATGAAAATACTGAAAAATAACTTTTGTAAACAAATGCAAATGGATTTGATAAAGTATGTCTGATGTGCGAAGTTGAAAATTGTGATTTTTGCTCAAGAAACTATTCTGAATGCCTTGAATGTAAATAAGGATATTTTTTGAAAAATAATGTTTGTAGTAAATGTACTTTAAAAAATTGTACTAAGTGCGCTTTAAGTAAGTTATTTCCTTTTTTATATTTCAAAAAATATTTAATTAATTTTGTATTAAAATTTAGCACAAAATAATACTTTCAAATAGGGGAGGATGCATAATCAAGGTTTGAATTAATTAATAAAAATAATTTATTGTTAATACGTGTCCCCATTAGTTTTTTGAATACCATCCCTTATAATCTAACCCCCGGATTAAGACTAATAATTGAAAAATACTATTTCTTTATTTTTTTTAATATTGAAAAACAAATATTAAATCCATATTCCTATTGATTATATATAGCAAATAGCGATTCTATTACTTGTGAGGTATGCCAAAAAGGGTTTTATTTACTAGAAGGCGAGTGCGTAGAAAAATGTCCTCCTGATTACAAATAAACATAAACTAAATGTATTAAGTGCAATCCAGGTACTTTTCTTTAAGGAGAAATATGCGTTGAATGCCCTAAATTCTGTAAATTATGCACGGGCCCTGATTCTTCTGAAGGATTTAATTTAAAGTAATAAAATTTTTATTTAGAATTATTTTAAATTTAGTTTTTTCTCATTTGCTAAGTATATCTAAATGTTAACAAATATTTTATAGAATTATTTTATTTAATTAAAAAATTCCAGTATCGCTTGTGATGAATGTCAAAAAGGGTTCTATTTACTAGAAGGTGAGTGTGTAGAAAAATGTCCTCCTGATTACAAAAATTCATAAACTAAATGTATTAAGTGCAAGCCAGGTACTTTTCTTTAAGGAGAAACATGTGTTGAATGCTCTAAATTCTGTAAATTATGCACAGGCCCTGATACTTCTGAATGTTAATAATGCTCTGAAGGATTTGATTTCAAGTAATTAAATTTTTATTTAGAATTATTTTAAATTTAGTTTTTTCTCATTTGCTAAATATATCTAAATGTTAACAAATATTTTTTTAAATTAATTTTTTTAATAAAAAAATTCTAGTAAACTAAATGAATGTGTGCTCAATGATTTCGATTTGAATCCTTCTTTCAAGCCTAAGAAATTTATAGATCCAAGAACAAATACTGAAAAAGGTAAAAATGAAATTTATTTTTGTTATTTATTTTTTAATTAATTCTTATCAATTATTAAAGAATGCAATTTCTCATGTGATGAATGTGTTGACTCCTCTGATCTTTGTACAAAATGTAACCCTGAATTGAATTACTATGTAAAAGAGTAAATTAATTATTTATTTTTTTTGATGTATTTTTTTAACTAACTTGATTATATTTGTTTATAACATTCAAATATATATTAGAGGAGATAGGTTAAGATGCTATAATAGATGTCCTCTTTACTTTGAACCTAGATAGTCAACTTAAGATCCATTAAATAAGTATATAGAGTGTGTGAAGAGTGAAAGATATACATCAGATCTTGAAGAAGCAGATAAAATAAGAAACGAGGCTAAAAACAGATGCCCTAAATAGCAATACTGGTAGTGAATATAATATATTTCTTAATATTATTCTAATTTTTTATATTTTATAAAAAGGGATATATAGAGTAAATAATGCTACAAATGCACTAATAATTGTATCTCTTGCAACAATGAAACTTCTTGCATTGAATGCGAACCTGATTATTACTGGAATGATAATCGCTAAACATGCTCTCCATGTCACCCATCTTGTAAAAAATGCACAGGTCCACTCTCTAAAGACTGTTTGTTATGTGCTAATGTAGATAAATTATTTCCCAATTAAAATGGAATTTGTGAAGAAAATGTTACTGACATTTTACCATAGTAAAAAATTCTCACTCAAAATGAAATTTATGGAAATTTGTAAGTTTGCAAGTAATTCTTAAATACTTAGCAAAACTATTCAGTAGAATTTTCATAAAAATATTCAATCAATGATAGCAAATGGGAAAGCATTAAAATGATGTCTAAAAATTCATGCACATTCTTAGAATTTTAAAATCGTTACAAGTATTTTGAAAAAAACAAATAAAATTGTGAGGACAAAGAAATATCTTAATCCACTGTTGGGAAAAATGGAGATTTAGTTGCTATTTACTCAATACTCTTATCATAATCAAGAGCCTAAATTTCTTCAAATGAGGTTAATCCTTAAACATTAGTGGAATATGCGATTAGCAAAAACTTCTTTAGTTCTAGCTATCTTTTTTACCCAACTCCAACTTTCGCTTGCAGTAATCTTTAATGCGTTTCTCAATTAGATAGTTTGCTATATGGCTTTTCTTCAAATGACAATTCAAAGGACATAACTATAAAAATAGTAAAAGAAATAGTTCTTACCTCTGAAAAGCAAACTTCATTAAATTGCTTAAATAATGGCTAACAAGTTAACTAAAACACTGTTGAAGAAATTGAACATATTGTTAATAGTTCCTAATACACATTAAATACTGGTTCAAAGCAATATTTTATATTATATGCATGTGGAAAAAGCTAACAAGGTAGCTTTGCTTCAAAACCTTTACTTGTGTAAAAATATTTAGGAAATGGTTTCTTTGAGGTAATTTAATATATAATTTTTTTCTTTCAAATTTTTAACAAATAAATAAACTATTTCAAATTAAAATTAGGTGATAAATGTAAGTAACCCATTGCCTTCTTAAGTTGAAGTAATAAGTTTATATGGAGCTTCAAATGAGTAAAATGATTACTTAAAAAAATGTGATTCTAAGTTATCAAACTCCTTAAGTTCATATTAAATTTAAAAAGTGAGTATAGTCTAAGTTGTTGAATAAGATCCAAACGCCGACAAATCAGAATTGATGTTCTAGCAATATAACAATAAAGTTGAAGCCTCAGATATGGATCCTGCTAAGTGCTCTTGCGTTGAGACAAAAGACTATATTCTTGCAAACGAAAACTAAGGCAATCAATTTATAACAGTTATTACTCCTCAAAATAAGATTTTAACTGAATCAATTAATGTCTAAGGTATCAACCATATTTTAAAGAAACATAACATAGATGCAGGTATTATGAAGGCAAATCGTCTATCAATAACTAAAATAGAAGCTGATTAATTTTTCTATGAATACATTCAAGAAACTGTTGAAAGTGCAAAAAAATGCTATGAAATTAGCAAATCAACTCCTTTATGCATGATAAATGTTTTGGCAGATCTATTATTCTCTAATAATCAACAGTGTTTGTTTTCTCAATAAATAAAAAGCATGGTTAAGAATTCCGATTTTAGAGGACTAAATGATTTTATTAAAAAATAAAGTTGGTGCAATCTTCATTAAGAAAGATGTTTAAAAGCTCAATAAACCATGAAAAGTTGTATTTGAAACTTTTTCTTGTCTAAAAAAGCGGAACCAAAATGCTAAAAAAATATTTAATTTATAAAATTAATTGTAAATTTAAATTTGTTTGTAAAAACAAAGAGATAAAATAATATACTTTATATTCCTATATTTTGATAAATTTTTTTAAAACAAATAATTTGATTAAAATTTTTTCTTGTAAGTTTGAAATTTTCTCTACATAAATTCATTAAAAGTATCCAAATTAGAAAAATTATCATATATAATAAAAATTTAAATAAATTTATTTATAATAAATCTATTTTTAATTTTTTTTTATTTATATTTTTTTGGCGTAAAAATAAAACACCAAATATAATTATAATTATATTTATAATTCATTTCAGAATTTTAATTCTACCAAACGTTTTGAGAATGTAGGCCCTTATATATCGATAGGATTAATGATATCATGTCTTTTTTGTTCAATTTCAATAGTAGATATGCATTTAATTACTTTTTAAACAGCTTTAGCAATTACCTTTGCGGCTTTTACTACTGCATTTACAGCTTTTTTAAAGAAATTTTTTAATGAAGAGGACCTTTTTAAATTTCTTCTTCTCCTACTTAAATCGCATGATATTTTTTCCAAACTAAAAATAGTCTTGTAATAAATACCAATTTTGATATGATAGGGTTTAAAACTTCCATCTATATAAAATGAACCTTTAAACTATTTATTTATTAAAAACAAATTTTTAATTAATTTTATAAATTGTGTAATAAATGTAATTTTTAATATGATAATATAGAAAAAGTAAAAAATTAATACTTTAGATAAAAGATCATATTACATGATAAATAAGTGAATAAAAATCAAAAAAAATAAAAATAAATGTTAATACCTTTTCTAGAACTTTAAAGTCTAGGCCTACCATAAGAGAAGTTTCTAGGAAAGTACCCTCTGCATAACCACCTACTTCTGCTACATAAGCACTAGCCCCTACTTCTCCTCCTATTGTTACTTTAGTAGAAACTCCCGCTCCAAGATCAAGGATAGCATTTTTTAAACTTACTTTGAATTATAATGAAGTATCCCAACTAGCATATAGCCTTAATACAAGACTTAATCCTATAGGAGTAGGATATAAGTAAGTGTATTAGAATGGTATTTTTTGAGCTTTATAAAATATGAATAATTATTAATTGAGTTTTAAACTGTAAATATTGCTCAAAAAAAGAATGAATAAGTAAATTACCAAAAGGTTCTATTATTTTTTCAAAATTTGCTTCAGTAATAAGCTTTTCAATAAGGTTTTAGAACAATTTGTTGACATCAAAGCTTTATTTTTGAACATCCTATTTATAAGTTTCTAGTTGATTGATTTACAAGCCATTAATATCTTGGCTTAATTCTGAAACAACTTCTTTATTTAGACTTTTATTGTATTCATCTTCAAATGTATCTTATATTTATTATGTAATTTCAGTCTTAGGCTATTCAAACTAAGCTCTAATATCATTCCAAGCTTGCTTTTAATCAATATATATACCAGTAATAGAAAGTTTAATTTGACCAAAATAGTTCATACACTATTTACCTAGAAGCTTTAGGTCATCAACAAATTTCTAAAATTTGCTTGGAATTCCAGAGAATCTTTTAAAAGTCTATCCTATTTCTCCATAATTGTAGGAAACAATAGCCTAAACAGATTCTACAATATCTTTTATTTCATCAAAAAGAGGTGTCTATTTATTAAAATAATTTGTTAAATATAATTAATTAATAGTTAATTTTTTTACCTCATAAAATTTTGAATCATTATCATCAGGCTTAGGAGTTTTTGATACAAATGCCTTGAGCTCAGCAAACAAGCCTTTTAAATCATCAAGAATATTCTTACTGTTTTCAAACACGTTATTTTTTAATTTAATAATATCTTCTTTCATTTAAATAGCAGCGCTTTTAGCTTTTGAAACAGTTTCCTTTCCTTATTTAACTAATTAAATCACTAAATTTTTAGGAAATTGAGTTACTTATTTAAATAAGCTTTTAATCAATGTAAGAATTCTCTTTTCTTGAAGTTTCCTAATTGTTTTAACTATATCTTATACATCTTACTTCCACTCTTTGATTCCAGTTGTTAGGTCAAAATTAAAATTGTAAATTTCAGAGAATGAACTTAAAAAGGCTTAAATTTCATTGCTTGGACTATCTGAATTAGATTCAGGATATTTGGTCTTAAGGTCTTTAAGCTTTAGATAAATCTCTAATTTCATATCATTAACAGATTATTTTATTACTTTAAGCATTTAATCTGATACTTTGTGTTACTCAGAAATTGTTTTAACAGTCTTGTTGATAATAGATTTAATTGTATCTATAACTTAAGAAGATCCTATTATTTATTTTAATTTTTTTTGAGTTTCTTAAGCATCTTTAGGTACATCCTAAGTTGAGACATATTTATCAACTTCGCTGATAGAGCCAAATATTACATTAATTTATTTTAAAGCAAAATCTTCTACTGCATCAAAATGCTATGAAAGAGGCTAGTAAATTATTTGCTCCAATAAATCTTCAAGAGTTTCCAAAACGAGCTTGATTTATTCTTCTACACCAGCAGGAAGACCCTTAGTTTATGAGTCTATAAGTTTTTTGGTTTCTGATAACTTATCAACAAGAATATTTTGAATGTAATTCATTTAACTTTCAATTATCATATTTTTTCTAGATAAAAATCCTAAAATTTTTTCCTTCAAATTATTTAATGGATCCTTGATAATTTTGCTGATGGTTGTGACTGAAGCTTAAAGGACCTGCTCAAATTTAGAAATTAAATCAAAAATTTATAGCTCATCATTGTTCACACCATCATAAATAACTTTCAAAAGAGGATTTTTTTCTACAGTTATAACAGTTTCGAAATCATCCATTAATTTATCTATGCTGTTTTTAATTCTTGTAAGTCTTCCAGTTACATTTTCTTTGACTATATCAAGTTTATCTTTAACCATATGCTAGATGTACTGATAGAGTTTCAGAATTTTAGATACATTAACTTTGGCTATTCATAAAAAACAAAATTATTATTTTCTATTTATAAAAAAAAAATTACTTTATCTCTCTACAAGCTTAACAGAAGCACCATTAAAGAAACTGTATAGACCAATTGAGCAAATATCTTGTTTGTTCATACGTCCTGAATCCTTACACTCGGCTCTTACATCAGCGCCAAATTCGAATGAAGCAACATTCTTTCTGAAAATAGGTTTTTAAATAGGCGGAGATAGATTATTATTTTTTTAAGCAAGTAATCTGCTACCAGTCATTATTTCACCATCCATATCTGTTTATGATTCACCATCTTAAGTAGATGTGTTAAAAATAGTGTTGTAAGTGTCTATAGCTTCATCATATGTTTGAGAAAGAATACTCATACCCTCAAAAGTAGTGGTAATTAAATTGATAAAATTATCATCAACTTCATCTTCCTAGCTCACAAAAGAGATTTTGCATTCAGAATTCATTTCTATACCTTTGAATAAAGGCATTTCTTCATTTTCTTCTACTTTATTGTCTTCGATCTTGAAGTTAGATTTAGCTTTACTTTCAAGAAGAGCACCATTTTAGATAACAGAGTCTTAAATATAATTCGCTTTTTGAGTGGAATTATTATCGTTGACCTTATTTTGTTCATATTATTTGTTCAAATTTGCTTAGCCATTTTTATCCATATTAGCCTAAAGTTGTGGTTAAACTTTTTCACCACTCAAAATTCTTTATTCGTAATTTAAAAGCATTCTTCTCTTATTTCCATTTTGATCAGTAATCTTGTATAAATCACTTTGAACAATAGGTGTAACTTGTTCGATTATATTTAAATAAACCTAAAAGATGTCTAAACGTAAGTTAACAGGTTGTTATACTTATTTGACTTTACTATTCTTATCCAAAGTGAATTAAATTATAGGATATCTTGAAGCGTAATATTGATCAGCAGAAATACCTTTCGAAGCTAGTAGTTTTATTTCCTATTCATTCAAAGGAGCGTATTCATTTTCAAGAGATTTATTAGATTCCTCATTCAAGAATTCATCACCTTCAAGCATACTATCTTGAACATCCTCTAAATCAATTAATAGTAAATTAAAATAAATTGAAACAAAAATATTTAATTAAATAAATAAAGGTGTTTATTAAAATTTACGTTAAGCTTGTTGTAAATTTCTCTTAGCTCCAGCTGCCATTTCTTTTTCTTATATTTTGGTGAATCCTGTTAGTTAACTGCTAAGCTTGTCATTTTCATACATTTTAGTATCAATAATATAGATAAACATTTTAAACTCATCTTTTGTTACATCAGAGCATATCAAGCCAAATTAGTGAACAATTAGCGAGTTAGTAACTGATTTCTAACCATCTCCTGACATTGTAGTTTAATTATTGTAGAGTTTATATTCATAAATTTTCTAGCTTTTTGGAACATGCATCATTTTGACTAGGTTATTATCTTAACCTTCATCAACCATTGATTTATATTTAGCATATGTTGTAGGTATTTTAATTACTTCTTAAAAATCACTTTGATTATTCGATTTCAAAGTTAAGGCCAAAACAACACCTAAAATGGCACCAATAGCTAGTAAAATTGCTAAGCCGATAATCCACTTCTTTTTAGAAGAATTGACCTTCACAGTAACTATATTTTAGTTAGCTTGAGTATTTTCTGCGAAAAATGGCAAAGCATTGTTTTCTTGATTAAGAGCTATTTATAAAAAAATAAAATATTTTAACTTAAATTGCAATTAAGCATTTTTATTTTTTGAAAAATAATTAATTTTAAAATAAATGAATGATTGAGTGAGTAAGTGAGTGGATGCTTGAATGATAAATTTAATTATTTATAAATATAGATATTAATATATCATTATTAGTTAATTTTTTGTCGTAAAAAAATAAACCATTAGAAATAAAAATTAGAATAGTCTTTGTATTAATTAATTTTAATAAAGTTTTTAGTAATATTATATTAAGGGATTTGAGCAAGAGTGAAGTATATTTAGATTTAAAAAAATATTTTTGTTAATTTTTGAGTTACTGTAGGTTCTCATAAATTAACACCCTGTTAAATTAACACCCAATTATTTATTCATGAAAATTTATCCAAAAATTGAGTAAAAAACAGACAAGGGGGTGGGTGTTAATTAATGAGAACCTACAGTATATAATAATTTTAAAAGTATTTTAAACTTCGATTAGAAATTAAAAACAAAAGCAAAAACTATATGTTTATAAGTATTATTTATTACCATTGATGCTACAAATATTGCTCTTGGAAGGTTGTTAAGTCTGATTAACTTAAATTTCATCTTCAAATTTATTTAATTTTTCATTATCAGTAGGAGGTTGCCCTGGTAAAATCAAAGGAAGATTTCCTTAAAGGGATTTATCACTAATTTGTATATTTCTATTTTAATCCATTTAGATTTATTGTTTTATTTCTTTAATTTTTAATAATAAAATTCTTTGCTTCGAAGGGTAACATATATATTAATTTGAAAAATATAAGATTTACATTTTAAACTAAGGTTTTCTTTAGTTATAGCTAATATAATAAGATAAAGAAAGTAATTAAGTGTTTATTTTATAAAAATCTATATAAGATACTTAATTTAGTAAATTAGCTTTTTATTTATTTTTATCGTATGTAAACGTTAAATTTATTTGAATAAGATAATTTTTTTGCTATTTATAGAAAACTAATAAGTTCAAAGAATAAATTTTGAAATTAATTCAGAATTAATAATAATTTATAGATACGTAAGCTTAATTATATATGTACTTTTTCAACCAGCAACTTTGATAAAATAATCTAAAATAGAATCTGTCAGTCCTTTAGTGTTTATTTAATTAAAGTATATATAAGAAACTATTTAAAATACTTGATTTATCAATAGTATTTTTGTTTAAAAAAATAAGTATTAAAAATGCACACAATGCTTTAGCTATTTTTAACTTGCCATTAACTTTTTTTTTTCGTTCTTTTTTCTCATTCATTAGATACTCATTCTATTTAATTTCTTTTTCGTAGTTAATTAAAATTAATTAATTAAAAAGTAGATGTTTATTTGAAAACTAATTAAACCTGTTAATATTACAAATATCAGTTATTACTTATCAATCTTTAATATAATTTTAAGCTTCCTTTTTTGAACCAGTAACTTTTATAAATTAGTCTAAAGTAAAATCGATAAGACTTTGGGTACTTATTTGATTAAAATATTTAATAGAAAGTATTTACTTTATTTAAATTATATGATTTATCAAAAGTATTTTTAAGTATAAAAATGAAGCTTTTAAAAATGTAATGTTTCAGCTATTTTTAACTCTTAATTATTTTTTTTTTCTTAAATGAGCGTTCTTTGTTCTCTTTAGATGTTCATTGTATTTAATTTCTTTTTAATAGTTCATTAAAATTAATCAATTCAAAAGTAAAAATTTACATGAAAACTAATTAAACTTCAGTACATGAACTTTTTAATAAATTAATTACAAATATCTGCGTTACTTTTTTAATCTTGAATAAATGTAACAGTAAAAATAAAAAAATAATTATCAATAAAATTCATTTTTCTAAGTGATATTTTTTAAATTATGTTAAAAAAAATGTTTTTATTTATAGATTTAAATGAGTTATTAAATAAAGTAAACTTTTATAATAATTATGCGATAGTTTATAGTACATATTAATTTGTAACTTAATTCACGCAATTTATCAAATTTAAAGAAAGTCTGGTTTTACTAAGTGTTAAATGGGTCATTATTAAAAAACAAAATGAAGTTAAATACTGTATAGCCTTTTAAATTGGGCAGTAAATATATTGAATACCTGGATATAATGGGCATTTTGAACCTAATAAAATATTTTCTAATTGAAGGGAGAGCTGAGCGTATTAACAAATGATGATTTACAGAATATTATGAATAATATTAACAAAATCAATAAATGATTGACTGATCTTTAGAAAATTCTTTAGAGAAAGCTTAATCAAATATAAAAAATAATTAATAAAAAGAAATTTGTGGTATTGAATGTTTTTTTATATATTTTGTGTATTTCCTTCCTTCTATTAATAGTAAATTACCTAGACTTAAAATGACAGGATATAAATTAAGTATTATTGGATTTATCCAATTATATATATATACTTAATAAATTAGTAATAGTTAGCTCAATTGAATAAGTGAATGATATTTATACAGTCAGTAGTAAAATTAGGAATTTCAAAAATTAAATAGAGTTTATATTCTATTTTTAACAATTAATAAATAAATATTGATTCAGTATATATTAATTATCATTATTTTGAATATTAATTTAAAGGTATTTATTTATATGAATCAAAACCTCATACTTAGTTTAGCAATTACTGATATATTCTTCAAAAATCTTAAATACTTTTAAAAAGTAGCTTAATATTTTTTACAGTTTCTTAATAATATTTAATATAAGTATTTGTAAATCTATCCATAAATATTTATTTATTTATTAGTTTAGCTTTATAACTAGGAAAAAAACTTGAAATTTATTTTAAATCTTATTTTTTATTTACACACTCTATCAAAATTGAATATATTTATCAGTAGGTTCTAATAAGTCATAATTACTATTTCATCTTAAGTTAATGGATATTTTGAAATAATTGAAGTTTCTAAATTAATAATAAAATTAAATAAAACAAAAAATAAATAAGAACAACTTTAAAATACCAAACAAAATATATTACTCAACTCTTAATTTGACTGGTAATCTCTAAATAGGATCTTATAAAAATCTTTAAAAAATGAAACGACTCACTCTTTCTAAACCTTAAGTAGAAAGAAAATTCAACTAACTAGCTCTAGTTATTCTACTTGTTTTGTGTTTCTAAGGAGTCAGAGCTTAGACAGCAAAAACACTAGAATAATTCTTGGATTTAGATGAGTGTAATGTTAATTATGGGCTAGCTCTTTCATTTTAAATCACTTTATTTTCTTAAAAACTTTATGATTGCAACATCCTTGATGAAAATATTAAGGATTATGAAAATAGATTAGATTCTTTAAGTTAGAAATAATTGATGCATTATGATATTTATAAAGCATTTTAATTAACTCGCAAAGGACATAAGCTAGAGTTTGGAAAATCTAACTTGCCAGAATACTTTTTATACAAAAAATTCACCAATATGGCCAAATGTGGTGATTATAAAATTTTTTAAAAACTTGGATACAACTTTAATGATTGTGATTATTGTGTGTAATCTTCCAATTGCAGCAAAAAAGAAAAATAAAAAAATGAAAAAACTAATGTAAATAATTATTTCATTACTTTTAATATTTATCTCTAAATAAATTTGTAAAAAATGGGCAAGAAAATTATCTTTAAATGAGTTACGCAATTAATTTCTCAGCTCAAAAAAAAAACAAACAATTTAATTTAAATAAAAATTGAATGTTAAGAGTATTTTTTTCCAAATAATAAAAAGACATATGGCCCATTGAGAATTTATTCTGTACGAGAAACATATGTTGAAGCATTCTAACTTTTATGGAATTGCAATAACCCTAACAATTAAGTTGAAGTAACAGGTAATTAATATAGTTTTAACCATTTTATAATTTTTATATAAAATATCTTGATATCAATATTTATTTCTAGATTATCAAAGAAATCAGTAAATTCTGATTAAAAATTTATAATATTTTATTTATTCTTTTATGATAAGCAACTTTTATTAATGAAAACATTTTTAATTTCTTAATTTTTTTATTTATTAACTAAACTTTAATAGGAGTATACGATGAAACTACTGAAAAATAACTTTTATAAACTAATGCATATGGATTTGATAAAGTATGTATGATGTGCGAAGTTGAAAATTGTGGTGTTTGCTCTAAAAACTATTCTGAATGTTTTGAATGTAAATAAGGATATATTTTAAACGATAATGTTTGTATTAGATGTCCTTTAAATAATTGTACAAAATGCTCTTAAAGTAAGTTAGTTATTTCCTATTTTTACACTTTTAAAGAATTAATTTTAATAAAACTAATACTTATATAAACTGATATATTTTCATGAATAATTTTTTCGCATTAAGGTTTTACATAGAAATCTAGCTTAGTTAAATTATTATTTTAAATGTAAATTTCAAGAAATAAATTTTATTAAAATGTATTGTACTAAATCATACATTTTTATGATGGGAGGATCATTTTCAAGGTTTGATAAAACAAAAATACTTTTTTAATAAAATTTAGGTTCTCATTTGTTTGTTTCTTAATACAATCCCTTATAATCTAACCCCTCCCCCCCCCATCCCTAATAAAGACTAATAATTCAAAAATACTATGACTTTATTTTCCTTCATATTTAAAAGACAAATATTAAATCCATATTGATATTATTTTTTTAAAGCAACAGTCAAATCTTTCACTTGTGATGCATGTGAAAAAGGGTTTTATTTACATGAAGGTGAGTGCGTACAAAAATGTCCTCCTGATTACAATAATACATAAACTGAATGTATTAAGTGTAAATCAGGTACTTTTTTTTAAGGAGAAACATGTGTTGAATGCTCTAAATTCTGTAAATTATGCACAGGCCCTGATTCTTCTTAATGCTAGTAATGCTCTGAAGGATTTGTTTTCAAGTAATTAAATTTTTTATTTAGAAATTCTCAAATATTTTATATAATTATTTTATTTAATTAAAAAATTCAAGTAAACTAAATGAATGTATACTCAATGATTTCGATTTGAATCCTTCATTTAAGCCAAAGAAATTTATAGATCCAAGAACAAAAACTGAAAAAGGTGAAATTTATTTTTATTATTTATTTTTTAAATTAATTCTTATTACTTTTTAAAGAATGCAATTTCTCTTGTGATGAATGTATTGATTCTTCTGATCTTTGTATAAAATGCAACCCTGAATTAAATTACTACATAAAAGAGTAAATTAATTATTTATTTTCTTATTGCATTCTATATACTGACTTAATTGCTTATATTTGTTTAAAATATTTAAAAATATAATAATAGAGGAGATAGGTTTAGATGCTATAACAGATGTCCTCTTTACTTTGAACCTAGTTAGTCAACTTAAGATCCATTAAAAAAGTATATAGAGTGTGTGAAGAGTGAAAACTATACATCTGATCTTGAAGAAGCAGATAAAATAATAAATGAGGCTAAAAACAGATGCCCTAAATAGCAATACTGGTAGTGAATTTAATAGATTTCTTAATCTTATTCTAATTTTTTTACATTTTATAAAAAGGGATGTTGAGAGTAAATAGTGCTACAAATGCACTAATAATTGTATTTCTTGCAATGATAAATCAAATTGCCTTGAATGCGAACCTGATTATTACTTGAATGATAATAGCTAAACATGCTCTCCATGTCATCCATCTTGTCAAAAATGCACAGGTCCTCTCTCTAGAGACTGTTTGTTTTGTTCTAGTGGAGAAAGATTATTTCCCGATTAAAATGGAATTTGTGAAGAAAATGCTACTGACATTTTACAATAGTAAAAAATTCTCTCTCAAAATGAAATTTTTGGAAATTTGTAAGTTTGCAAGTAATTATTAAACTAAAAGCGAAACTATTCAGTAGAATTTTCATAAAAATTTTCAATCAATGATAGTAAATGGGAAAACATTATAATGATGTCTAAAAATTCATGTACATTCTTAGAATTTTAAAATCGTTACAAATATTTCTAAAAGAACAAATAAAATTGTGAGGACAAAGAAATATCTTAATCTACTATAGGAAAGAATGGAGATTTAGTTGCTATTTACTCAATGCTCTTATCACAATCAAGAGCCTAAATTTCTTCAAACCAAGTTAATCCTTAAACATTAGTGGAGTATGCAATTAAGGAAAATTTCTTTAGTTCTAGCTATCTTTTTTAAATAACAACTCCAACTTTCGCTTGCAGTAATCTCTAATGCATTTCTCAATTAGATAGTTTACTATATGGCTTTTCTTCTAGTGACAACAAAAAGGAAATCACTATAAAAGTAGTAAAAGAAATAGTCCTTACCTCTGAAAATCAAACTCCATTAAATTGCTTCAAGGGTGGCTAGCAAGTTAACTAAAATACTGTTGAAGATATCGAAAAAATTGTTAATAATTCCTAATACACATTAAATACTGGTTCAAAGCAATATTTTATATTATATGCATGTGGAAAAAGCTAACAAGGTAGCTTTGCTTAAAAACCTTTCCTTGTGTAAAAATATTTAGGAAATGGTTTCTTTGAGGTAATTTAATATAATTTTTTCTTTATCAAATTTTTAATAAATAAATTTTCTATTTCAAATTTAAATTAGGTGATAAATGTAAGTAACCCATTGCCTTCTTAAGTTGAAGTTATAAGTTTATATGGTGCTTCAAATGAGTAAAATACTTTCTTAAAAAAATGTGATTCTAAGTTATCTAATTCCTTAAGTGCATATTAAGTTTAAAAAGTGAGTATTGTCTAAGTTGTTGAATCAAATCTAAATGCTGACAAGTCGGAATTAATGTTCTAGTAATACAACAATAAAGTTGAAAGCTCAAATACGGATCCTGCTAAATGCACTTGTGTTGAAACAAAAGACTACATTCTTGCAAACGAAAACTAAAGCAATCAATTTATAACTGTTATTACTCCTCAAAATAAAATTTTAACTGAATCAATTAATGTCAAAAGCATCAACCACATTTTAAAGAAATATAAAATAGATGCAGAAATTATGAAGACAAATCGTCTATCAATAACTAAAATACAAGCTGATAAAATATTTTATGAATACATTCAAGAAACTGTTGAAAGTGCAAAAAAATGCTATGGAGTTAGCAATTCAACTCCTTTATGCATGATAAACGTTTTGGCAGATTTACTCTTCTCTAATAATCTTCAGTGTTTTTATTCTTAATAAATAAAAAGCTATGTTAAGAATTCTGATTTTAGAGGGCTAAATGATTTTATTAAAAAATAAAGTTGGTGTAATCGTTATTAAAAAAGATGTTTAAAAGCTCAATAAACTATGAAAAGTTGTATTTGAGGCTTGTTTCTTGTCTAAAAAAGCAGAATCAAAATGTTAAAAAAATTTAATTTATAAAATTATTTGTAAAGTTAAATTTATTTTATAAATTGATAAAATAATATATTATATATCCCTTATATTTCCTTATGTTATGATAACTTATATTAATTAATACCAATAATTTGAGTAAAATTTTAAAAATTTTGTTAATTAAAAAAAGGATAATTTAAAAAATTATTAAATAAAAATTACAATATATATTATATAATATTAATTATCTATTATACATAATTGTTAGTTTCAAAATTATAATTCAACCAAACGCTTTGAGTATGTTTGTCCTTATATATCAATAGGATCAATTATATCATGTCTTTTTTATTCAATTTAAATAGTAGATACGCATTTAATTACTTTTTCAACTGCTTTAGCAACAACTTTTGCAGCTTTAGCTACTGCATCTACACTTTTCTTAACGAATTTTGATATAGAAGAGAACCATCCTAAATTTCTTCTTCTTCCGCTAAGATCGCATGACATTTTTTCCAAACTAAAAATAGTCTTGTAATAAATACCAATTTTAATGTGATAGGGTTTAAAACTTCCATCAATATAAAATGATCCTTTAAACTATTTATAAAAAACAAATTTTTTGGATTTGATTCAATAATTTTAAAAAAAATCAATAAAAAAATTTATGTATATGAATAAAATAACATAAAAAAGAAGAAAAAATGAAAGTTTAAAGATAAATAAATGAATCAAAATCAAAATAAAAAAAATATTTAAATTGTAAATAATACCTTTTCAAGCACTTTAAAGTTTAGGCCTAGCATGAGGGAAGTTTCAAGAAAATCTCCTTCTGCATAACCACCTACTTCTGCTACATAAGCACTAGCTCCTACTTCTCCTCCTATTGTAACTTTAGTAGAAACACCTGCACCAAGATCAAGGATAGCATTTTTTAAACCTATTTTGAATTTTAATGAAGTATCCCAACTAGCATAAAGCCTTAATACAAGACTTAACCCAATGGGAGTAGGATACATATAAGTATATTCAAAAGGAATTTTTAGAGCTTTATTATAAAATAAATAATATATTATGAGTTGAACTTTTAAGCTCCTAAATATTTTTCAAAAAAAAGAATCAATAAATAATTACTATAAGGTTCGATTATTTTTTCAAAATTTGCATCAGCTATTAGATTTTTAACAAAACTTTAAAATAATTGGTTCACATCAAAGCTTTATTCATGAACGCCATTTTTATAATTTTCTAGATCATTGTTTTACAAACCGCTAATATCTTGATTTAATTATGAAACAACTTGTTCATTTAGACTTTTATTGTATTCATCTTCAAATGTATCTTATATTTATTATGTAATTTCAGTCTTAGGCTTTTCGAACAAAGCTCTAATATCACTCCAAGCTTACTTTTAATCAATGTATATGCCAGTAATAGAAAGTTTAATTTGACCAAAATAGTTCATACACTGATTACCTAGAAGCTTTAGGTCATCAACAAATTTCTAAAATTTGCTTGGAATTCCAGAGAATCTTTTAAAAGTCTATCCTATTGCTCCATAATTATAGGTAACAATAGCCTCAATAGATTCGGCAATATCTTTTATTTCGTCAAACAGAGGAGTCTATTTATTTAAATAATTTTTTTAAATATAATTAATAATTAATTTTTTTACCTCATAAAATTTTGGATCATTATCATCAGGTTAAGGAGTTTTTGATACAAATGCCTTGAGGTCAGCGAACATACCTTTTAGATCATCAAGAATATTCTCACTGTTTTCAAACACGCTATTTTTCAATTAAATGATCTCGTCTTTCATTTCAACAGCAGCACTTTTAGCTTTTGAAACAGTTTCCTTTCCTTATTTAACTAACTCAACAACTAGATCTTTAGGGAATTGAGTTACTTGTATAAATAAGCTTTTAATCAATGTAAGAATTCTCTTTTCTTGTAGTTTCCTAATTGTTTTGACAGTATCTTATACATCTTACTTCCATTCTTTGATTCCAGTTGTTAGGTCAAAATTGAAATTAGAAATTTCTGAGAATGAACTTAAAAAGGATTCAATTTCATTGCTTGCACTATCTGAATTAGATTCAGGAAATTTGGTCTTCAGGTCTTCAAGTTTTTGATAAATCTCTAAAGTCATATCATTAACAGATTATTTTATTGCTTTAGACATTAAATCTGATACTTTTTTTTACTCAGAAATGGTTTTAACAGTCTTGTTGATAATAGATTTGATGGTATCAATAACGTAAGAAGATCCTATAACTTCTTTTAATTTCTTTTGAGTTTCTTAAGCATCTTCAGGAATATCTTAAGTAGAAACATATTTATCAACTTCATTAATAGAAGCGTATATCACATTAATTTGCTTTAAAGCAAAATCCTCTACTGTATCTAGATATTATTTAAGAGGTTAATCAATTATTTGCTCCAATAAATCTTCTAGATTTTCCAAAACAAACTTGATTTGCTCTTCTACACCAGCTGGGAGACCTGTAGTTTATGATTCAATAAGTCTTTTGGTTTCTGTTAACTTATCAACAAGTGCACTTTGAATGTAATTCATTTAATTTTCAATTATCATATTTTTTTTCGATAAGAAACCTAAGATCATTTCCTTTAAATTATTTAATGGATCTTTGATAAGTTTGCTAATTGTAGTGACTGAAGCTTAAAGAACTTACTCAAATTTAGAAATTAAATCAAAAATTTATAGCTCATCATTGTTAACAACATTATAGATAACTTTCAAAAGAGGATTTTTTTCTACAGTAATAACTGTTTCGAGATCATCTATTAATTTATCTATGCTATTTTTAATTCTTGTAAGTCTTCCAGTTACATTTTCTTTGACTATATCAAGTTTATCTTTAACCACAAACTAGATGTATTGATAGAGTTTCAGAATTTTAGATACATTAACTTTGGCTATTCATAAAAAAAGAAAATTATTAAATTATTATTTCCTATTTATAAAAAAAAAATTACTTTATCTCTCTACAAGTTTAGCAGAAGCACCATTAAAGAAACTGTAAAGACCAACTGAGCAAATATCTTCTTTGCTCACAAATCCTGAGTCATTACACTCAGATCTTACATCAGCACCAAACTCAAACATTGCAATATTCTTTCTGAAGATAGGTTTTTAAATAGGTGGAGATAGATTAGAGCCTTTTTAAGCAAGTAATCTCCTGCCAGTAATTTCTTCACCGTCTAAATTTGTTTATGACTCGCCAACTTAAGTAGATGTTTTAAAAACAGTGTTGTAAGTGTCTATAGCTTCGTCATAAGTTTGAGATAAAACACTCATACTACTAAAGGTAGAGGTAATTAAATTGATAAAGTCATCATCAACTTCATCTTCCTAGCTCACAAAAGATATTTTGCATTCAGAATTCATTTCTATACCTTTGAACAAAGGCATGTCTCCATTTTCATCAACTTTATTGTCTTCAACCTTGAAGTCAGATTTAGCTTTACTTTCAAGAAGAGCACCATTTTAGATAACAGAGTCTTAACTGTAGTTTGATTTTTGTATGGAATCATTGTCGTTAACCTTATTTTACTCATATTATTTGTTCAAATTAGCTTAGCCATTTGAATCAACAGTAGCCTAGAGTTGTGGTTAAATTTTCTCACCACTCAAAATTCTTTATTCATAATTTTAAAGCATTCTTCTTTTATTTCCATTTTGATCAGTAATCTTGTATAAATCACTTTGAACAATAGGTGTAACTTGTTCAATTATATTTATATAAACCTAGAAGATGTCTAAACGTAAGTTGACAGGTTGTTATATTTATTTAATTTTACTATTCTTATCCAAAGTAAATTAAATTATAGGATATCTTGAAGAGTAATATTAATCAGCAGAAATACCTTTTGAAGCCAGTAGTTTTATTTCTTGTTCATTCAAAGGAGCATATTCATTCTCAAGAGATTTATTTGACTCATCTGTCAAGAATTCATTGCCCTGACTTATACCATCTTCAACATCTTTCAAGAAATAATTAATAAATAAATAAAGAATTGATTAAAGCTACTTGTTAAAAACTTACTTTTAGCTTATTATAAATTTCTCCTAGCTCCAGCTGAAATCTCTTTTTCATATATTTTAGGGAATCCAGTGAGTTGACTGTTAAGTTTATCATTTTCATACATTTTAGAATCAATAATATACATAAACATTTTAAACTCATCTTCTGTTACATCAGAGCAAATCAAACCAAATTAGTGAACGATTAAAGAGTTAGTAACTGATTTTTATCCGTTTCCTGATATTGTAGTTTAATTATTGTAGAGTTTATATTCGTAAATTTTCTAGCTTTTCGGAACATGAATAATTTTGACTAGGTTGCTCTCTTAACCTACATCAACAGTTGATTTGTATTTAGCATAAGTCAGAGGTATTTTTATGACTTCATTGGCATCACTTTGATTATTTGACTTTAGAGTTAAGGCCAAAACAACTCCTAAAATAACACCAATAGCTAGAAGAATTGCTAAACCGATGATCCACTTCTTTTTAGAGGAGTTGGCCTTCACAGGAACTATATTTTAGTTAGCTTGAGAATCACCTGATTAAAATCTAAAGACGTTGTTCTCTTGATTAAGATCTAATTTTTAAAAAAATTGAAAATATTTATTGTAAAAGCAAATAAATAAGTTGTTTTTATTTTCTAAAAAACTATTTTTTATATGTGTAAAAACTCAAAAAAGTCACTGTATATATAATTACAGTGTCTTAATATAATGAGTCTTAACAGTATATAAAGTTAATAAGCAGAAATTTTTACCATTGGCGCTACTAATACTGCTCTTAAAATGTTATTAACCCTGATTAATCTAGATTTCATCTTCAATTACATTTTTATTCAAATTATAATCTTCGACAGGAGGCTAACGAAGTATAATCAAAGGTGGATTCCCTTAAAGTGGCTTTTCACCAATCTGTATGTTTTTATTTTAATCCATTTTTTTTTATTGTTTTATCTTGAATTTAATTTATAAAAGTAATTACTTTCTATATGGACATAAATATATTTATTGATTTGTATAATAGAAGATTTAATAGTATAGTTTAGTTAGTATTACTTTAGTTATATCTAAACAAAAAGATAGAGTAATTAAGTATTGATTTCATAGAAAAATGATATATATTACTTAATTTAGTAATATAATACTATACTTCTTATTTTGATGTTTAGCTGTAAACAGTAAGGTCATTTATTTAATGCATTTAGAGACTTTTTGTTATAATTAGAAAAATTAATTTTAGTTATAAATATAGATTTTGAAAATTAATCATCAATTAATAATAGATAATATATGAAGAACTTTAAGCTTCTATATATTATTTTTTCATCCAGCAGTTAAAAAATAAATCTAAATAAAATTAAAATTATATTAAATAGTATTTATAAAAAGTAATAAATATCTTTGCTCTATTTTAATTGCATGATTCATCAAAAGTATTTTTACATAACAAAAAAAAAGATATTAAAATGTAATATTTTAACTATTTTTAACTCACAATAAATTCTCTTTCACTAAAAATGTATATTCTTTCATTATTTCACTCTTTAAACCATTTTTTTATTGTTCATTTTTTATAAATACTTAGTTAATATTATTAAAATGCAAATTAGATATTAATATAAAAATGAATTAAACCTATGAAGATAAATTTATAAGAAAATTGATATCAATAAAAATCTTTAAAAAATGCAACAAAAATAAAGATATAGAGAATGATCTAAATATTTTTTTTCTTTCTAAAATGTTATCTTTAAAATAATGTTTAAAAAATGTTTAAATTGATTTAAATGAATTTTTAAAGTTTACTTGTTATTATAATTTAATTATACCTTGTACTAGTACAATTAAATATTCAACTAAATTCATGCATTTTATCAAGTTCAATGAAAGTAAAGTTATAGTTAATCTCTCTAGAATTAATTTAATTTGCTATAAATAGTTAATTTAGAACTTTAATTAAAAAATCAAAGACCTTAAATAGACAATTAAAATCCATCCCCTAGGCATTTTTTGTTTTTTAAAATTTACATATAAAAATTTAAAAACTTTTTAAACACTGGTGATGATTCATAGAATATAAAGAAAAGCATTAAAATATCAATAAATAGTTTATATATAGAAAATTAATTAGTATGAGTTGAAGAAACATAAAATATAATTAAGAAAAAGAGATTTGCAATATCTATCTATCTATTTATCTATTTTTTTATTTATTTTTATATCTTATTTCTTCCTAGAATAGATAAGTACTTCTATTATTAAAAAGACAAAAGCAAGTGTAATTTAATTTATTAATCAATGTATCTCCTTTAATTTTTTATAAGTCAGTAATATCTCAAATGAATTAATAAATTATGATTTATTTATGTTATTAAATATTGTTTATACAATCAGTAAAAAAATTTGAAATTTATGAAATAAAATAGAGCTTACTTATATTCTATTTTTAGTATCAAGTAAATAAATTTCATTTACTAATAATTAGTAAATATATTTTGGTATTGTAATTTAATGTATTTATTGATTCATGTGAACCATATTTTCCTCTAAATAAAAGGAAATAAATTGAAGTATTTTTCAAAAAATGTTAAATATTCTAAATAAATAAAACTAAAATTATTAACTCTTTCATAATAAAACTGATAACAAGTTTGAATAAATCTATAAATATTTATTTAGCTATTCGTTTAACTATAATACATGTAATTTGATGCTTTTATAGATATTTTTATTTATTTACTTACATTTTATCAAATAGCGGACATATTTTTTAATTAAATTTGAAAATGAATAGATAGATTCTATTTCATTTTTAATGTATGTAGACATGTTAGTACTTAAACATCAAAATTCATAATTAAATTAAATACAAAAAATTAAATATCAAAAACGATTACTTTAAAAATATTAAATAAAATTGAAAAATTTCAAATTATTTTACTGTTAATAATTATTAGAAGGATTAATTTCAATAAAAAAACCTTAAAAAATGAAATATTTTACTCTTTCTAAAACCTAAATAGAAAGAAGCTTCAGTAAACTAGCTCTAGTTATTCTTATTGTTTTGTGCTTCTAAGGAGTCAGAGCTCAGACAATCCACCTAAATGAAGTCTTGAACTATGAAGAATGCTCAGTTGATTATGGGATAGGTCTTTCAATTTAAATTATAGACTTTGCCTAAAGATTGTATACTTGCGATTATGTTTTTGAAAATCTTGCTACCTATGAAAGCAAATTAAATTCCCTAAGTGAATAATAATTATCCATTTATGAAATATATAAAGCATTTGAAAAAACTCCTAAAAAGCTCAAGCTATTGTTTGGATAATCTAACTTACCAGAATACCTTTTATACAAGCAATTTACACTTATAAACTCTTCATGTGGAGATCCTGAAATCATTTAAAAACTAGGAAACAACTTTAATGATTGCGATTATTGTATGGGATTAACTTAGTGCACCAAAAAATTTGAAGAAATAAATCAAAATAAAACTGTAAAAATTATTTTATTATTATTTTTAATCAATGTTTGTAAAAAGTGAAGTTAAAAAATTATTTTTTTCAAATAATAAGGAAAGTCAATCAATACAAAAGACATTTATTGAAGCATTCTAAATTTTATGGAATTGTAATAATCCTAGTAATTAAGTTGAAGTGACAGGTAATTAATAAGCTTTTAACATGTTTAATTTTTGAATAAAATTTATTTTTTTAAAATGTATTTCTATTTTATCAAATAAATAAATGGAAAGAAAAACTTATTGAAAAACATTTTATTACTATTTATTTATGTTTTCATAATAAGCCGAATTTTATTTATAGAAAATTTAATAACCAGTGTAATATATTATTAATTTCTTATTTAATTAATTTAAATTTAATAGGACTCTATGATGATACTACTGAATAATAGCTTTTATAAACTGATGTAAATGGATTCGAAAAAGTATGTATGATGTGTCAAGTTGAAAATTGTGGTGTTTGCACAAAAAACTATTCTTAATGTCTAGAATGTAAAGAGGGATATTATATGAAATAAGGTGTTTGTACTAAATGTCCTTTAAATAATTGTACTAAGTGCACTTAGAGTAAATTATTTGTATTTTGATATTTTAAAAGAATTATTAAGCGATTATTTATAGTAATACTAAAGATATTAACTGAGTGAGATATTTTAATTATCTTATGAATTTAAAAATTCACATTTTACTTACTTTCACTGATTATTACTTTTTTCATTAAGTCTATCTACATTCTTGATTAATTAGTACTTGTAATTTAAAGTTCATAGATAGGAATTTTATCAAATTTTATAGAACTAATTAATTAATGCATTCATTTTAAATTAACATTTATTAATTAATTTTTCAAGAATGTTTGAAGGTGGGGGATTTCATTGAGCATTCAAAATTATATGAAATTTATAATCTTTACTGCTTTAAAAATCCTGCTATTTCTAATTTCATAAATAATTTGCTTTTACCTTCATTATTTTTTGAAAGCCATCCCATCCCATACAACTATCTAATCTTACCTCAACTTATTGAAAAATATTAATTCTTTCTTTATTTTATTTCATCTTGAAAAAGTAAATTGATATTTATATTAATTATATAAAGTAACTGGTGATTCTATCACTTGCAATGTCTGCCAAAAAGGGTTTTACTTATTCTAAGGTGAATGTGTTGATATATGCCCTCCTGATTATAAAACTACATAGACTCAATGTATTTAGTGTAAACAAGGTACTTTTCTTTAAGGAGAAATATGTGTTGAATGCTCAAAATTCTGTAAGTAATGTACAGGCCCTGATACTTCTGAATGCTAGGAATGCTCTGAAGGATTTGTTTTCAAGTAATGAAATTATTTATTTAGAATTATTTTAAATTTAGTTTTTTGTCTTTTATTAAATAGAATTTCTTTAATATTTTTATAAAATTATTTTACTTAATTAAAAAATTTTAGCTAAGCTAAAGGCTGTATTCTGAATGATTTCGATTTGAATCCTTCATTTAAACCTAAGACATTTGTAGATCCTAGAACAGGTACTGAAAAAGGTGAGATTCTTTTTAATTAATTAATTTTTGATTAATCATTTCTAATTAATAAAGAATGCAATTTTTCATGCGATGAATGTATTGACTCTTCTGATCTCTGCACAATTTGTAACCCTGAATTAAATTACTTTGTAAAAGAGTAAAAAATTATATATTTATTCTTATTTAACATTATTTTAAATGTATTTTTAACTGTCTTGTTTATATATGCTAAAACCATTCAAAATATTTAATAGGGGTGATAGATTTAGATGCTTTAACAGATGTCCTCTTTACTTCAAACCTATCTCTTCTAGTTAAAATCCACAAGAAAAGTTTATTGAGTGTGTTAAGAGTGAAAGCTACACATCTGATATTGAAGAAGCAGATAAAATAAGAAATGAGGCTAAAAACAGATGCCCAAAATAACAATACTGGTAACTAATTAAATATATTTCTTAATAATATTCTAACGGTTTATAATATAAAAAAGGGATATTTAAAGTCAAAAATGCTACAAATGCACTAATAATTGTATTTCTTGCAATAATAATTCCTCTTGCCTTGAATGTGAACCTGAATATTACTGGGACAGTAATCTTAAAACATGTTCTCCTTGTCACCCATCTTGTAAAAAATGCACTGGTCCACTCTCTAGAGACTGCTTATTATGTGCTAGTGAAGATAAATTATACCCTGATGCAAATGGCACTTGTGAAAAAAATTTATCTGACCTTTTACCATAGTAAAAAATTCTCTCTCAAAATGAAATTTATGGAAATTTGTAAGTTTGCAAGTAATTCTTAAATACATAGCAAAACTATTCTGTAGAATTTTCATAAAAATACTCAATTAATGATAGTTAATGGTTGGATATTAAAATGATGTCTAAAAATTCATGCACATTCTAAGAATTCTAAAATCGCTACAAATATTTATAAAAGAGTGAATAAAATTGCGAGGACAAGCTGATATCTTAATCCACAGTTGGAAAAAATGGAGATTTAGTTGCTATTTACTCAATACTCTTATCATAATCAAGAGCTTAAATTTCTTCGAATGAGGTTAATCCTTAAACATTAGTTGAGTACGCAATTAGTAAAAACTTCTTTAGCTCTAGCTATCATTTTTATCCAAATCCAACTTTCTCTTGCAGTAATCTTTAATGTGTTTCTCATTTAGATAGTTTACTATATGGCTTTTCTTCAAGTGACAACACAAAGGAAATCACTATTAAAACAGTAAAAGAAATAGTTCTTACCTCTGAAAAGTAAACTCCATTAAATTGCTTCTAGAGTGGATAATAAGTTAACTAAAATACTGTTGAAGAAATCGAACAGATTGTTAACAATTCATAGTATACCCTAAATACTGCTTCAAAGTAATATTTCATATTGTATGCATGTGGAAAAAGCTCATTAGGTAATTTTGCTTAAAAACCTTTGCTTGTGCAAAAGTACTTGGGAAATGGTTTCTTTGAGGTAATTTTTTTACTTTTTTCTTTGTAAATTTTTTGATAAATAAATAATATATTTTATATTTAAATCAGGTGATAAATGTAAGTAACGCTCTGTCTTCCTAAGTAGAGGTCATAAATTTATATGGTGCTTCAAATGAGTAAAATGCTTACTTAAAATAATGTGATTCTAAGTTATCTAACACCTTAAGTTCATATTAAGTTTAAAAAGTGAGTATTGTCTAAGTTGTTGAGTAAGACCCTAATACTGACAAGCCAGAGTTGATGTTCTAATAATACAACGATAAAGTTGGAACCCCAAATACTGATCCTACTAAATGCTCTTGTGTTGAAACAAAAGACTATATTCTTGCAAATGAAAACTAAGGAAATTAATTTATCACAGTTATTACTCCTCAAAATAAGATTTTAACTGAATCAATTAATGTCTAAAGTATAAATAATATTTTAAAGAAACACAACTTAGATGCAGATATTATGAGAACAAATCGTCTATCAATAACTAAAATAGAAGCTGATTAATTGTTCTAAGAATACATTCAAGAAACTACTGAAAGCGCCAAAAAATGCTATGGAATTAACAATTCAACTCCTCTATGCATGACAAATGTTTTGGTAGATCTACTATTCTCTAACAATCTTGAATGTTAATTTTCTTAAGAAATAACAAGCATAGTTATGAAGTCAGATTTTAGAGGGCTAAATGATTTTATTAAAAAATAAAATTGGTGTAATCTTCATTAAGAAAGATGCTTAAAAGCTCAATAAACATTGAAAAGCTGTTTTTGAAGCTTAACAGTTACCAGAAAAACATAAAAAAGTGTTGAATAATATTAAATTCATAATAATTAATTGAAAAATTTAAAATTTATGTAATAAATAAAATAATTTATCAAACTTATAAATACTATTTTTTTAAAACTTATTCTCATTTTCAAAGAATTCCTTTTTATTTATATTAATATTTACTTTATCTTTTATGAAGAAATAATTCTTATTTACCGCTAAATTGCATTTATTTATTTATAGATTTTAGATAAAAAATATTTTAATTTTGTTTTAGATTTTCTTTTAATTTATTAAAAAATATTTATTTTTCTAATAAAAATATATTTTATACAGTGAATAATTATTATAGAATAGATATATGTATGAGATAAATTAGATGATAGATAATTTGTAAAATAGATAAATAAATTAATAAATTCTTATGTAAATTGACTGACTATCAAGCTAAAACTGATAATTTAAAAACAATATAATCAATCATGGAAATTCAAAAAAATATATTCAAAATAACAAATTAAAAAGATCGCGTTATTTTCTTTTATGAGAATATTTTAGCATGCCCAATTTCTATCTAAGTAAACAAATAAATTATCTTGGTAGCGTCTAATGAATTAAATAATCTACAATCAAATAAATAATGATTTGATTTATATTTCTATTGGATTGACTTTTAAAAAATAAATAAATAACAAATTTTATACAAAAATTAAACATAATATTAATAATTTTTTTATATTCTCTACTTTTGAATTAAGCTTATTATATCAAGCAAAATCAACAAACAAAATACTATCAATAAATAAATATAAAAGCAGCTTATAGGAAAAAAGATAAATAATTCATTCAAAATTAAATTAAATTAGCCAAAAAACATGTAAAATAGACCTAGCTTAGCTTAGATTATTTCAATGGATGATGATCCTGAAGAGATTTTTGAAATATTAGATTTATTAGGTAAATTATTTATGATGATGAATCAGATAGAAAAAAGTTAAAAATGGTTAATATTGAATAAATTTAGGAGAAGGATCTTATGGCTAAGTTTACAAAGCTTTGCATAAATAAACAGGAGAATTAGTGGCAGTTAAAATGGTTCCTAATGAAGGAGATTCTGCCTTAGAAAAAGAAATTAGAATGTTAAAAGAATGTCAAAGCGAATATGTTGTTAAGTATTATGCATCTTACTACAAAGACCAGCATTTATGGCTCATAATGGAGTAAAATAGATTTTTTAAAGCGATATAAAAATCATTTATTACTAAATTAATTAAAATAGATACTGTGCTGCAGGTAGCATTATAGATTTAGTTAAGATTACAAGAATTTAACTGAATGAGTAGCAAATAGCATCAATATTACAGTCAACATTAAAAGGATTATAATACTTACATTCAAATAAAATCATTCATAGAGACATAAAAGCTGGAAATATTCTCTTGGATTAAAGAGGAAATGCGAAATTAGCAGATTTTGGTGTTTCATTTTAGCAAATTCATACATAAGCAAAAGCAGTAAATTTTATTTCATAAAAAATACATTTAAGCAATATATTAGCAAAAATTATATCAAAAACTAATTTTTTTTAATCGAATTTGCTAAAATTCTTATTATAATTTTAAATTACTTTAGGAGTCGAAAATTGGCACTCCTTGCTGGATGGCCCCAGAAGTAATCATGCATTTAAAATATGATTCTAAAGCAGATATATGGAGTTTAGGGATAACAGCTATAGAATTAGCTGAAGGAGAACCTCCTTACTCAGATGTTAAACCTAGTATGGTAAATCATTCATATTTGGTTAATATGCATAATTTTAATAAGCTCTATTAAGCATACTTTGAATTTAGTAAATTTTAAATTATAAATTAATTAATTAGGTCATGGCTAAGATTTAGTAGAAACCTCCACAAGGATTAAAAAATCCATCTTAATGGTCTCAATAATTTAATGATTTTGTTAAGTAGTGCTTACAATAAGATCCTTAAAAAAGGCCCACAGCTGAATAGCTTTTGCAACATCCTTTTATAAAGGAAAATTCTCGCCCTAAAGCAATTTTAAGTGAGTTAGTCAGTAATTCAATCGATGCAATAGAAAGATATAGAAATAACTATCATGATCAATGTAAAAATTACTTTAAATTTCTTAAAATGAAAATAATTTCCAATAAATATTGCCGTTTTATCAAATTATTTTAAAAATATTCAATCAAATATTTTATTATAATTAGCTCAAGCTTAAGAGGGCGAAAATTTAATATACGGAAATTAAGATACAGTGATTCACTACACTACAAATTAAAATACTTAAAACAATTAATATTATCAAATGAATGTTGATTCATCTAATTTTTAAAGTGAAAACTAGGGCCCAATTTAATATCACTAAATGGTTATAAATGATTAATAACAGTAACAGTAATAATAACAATAGTTATTACAAAATCAATAACAACTTTAATAATAATAGTAACAACAATAATAATAATAACAATAGTAATTGCAACAATAATAATAAATATAATTTGAAGCAGAAAATAAATAAATAGCTCAAGTAGAGAGTTAGGTATAAAACTAAAATAAAATTTAATAAGAACAGAGTATAAGTAATTAAAAGTAAAATTTTTAATAGTAATAAAATAGTAATAATAATAACAACAACAACAGCAATAATTTAAATGAATAAAATTAACCTGACTCTCATTTAAATTCTGAAGTTGAAAATGTTAGTAGTGTAGTAGTTAAGGAGGATAATGGGTAATTAAGTAATAATCTCTATGCTGCTATGACTTATACTAAGTATATGAATTAGAATATCAGAGGTTTTGATCAAGCTATGGACGAAAAACATCGAAATAATATTTTAAACAGCTTACCTTTTAACTAGTAAGCTGCACAATAGTAATATGATTATAGCGAAGATCAATTTATTGATCATCTCAGCAACGAAGATTATGATGATGAAGAGGAAGATGATGAACATTTTGATGAGCACAATAAAAATAACAATAATATTGAAGATGATGAAGATGATTTGAGTTTTCATTAGGAAGATTATAAAAAAGAATAGATGATGAAAAAAATACAAGTAAAATATGTACAGCCTTAATAATCTGTTGCTCCTAAATAAAATGGACAGCAGTAGATTTTATTTTAAGTAACTGAAAATGATGAATAGTATCTGTAATAAAAGCACTTCTTAGAATAGAAACAACAAGAATAAATTTACTTTTAGTAATAAAATGCTTAAAAACAGTAGCAACCAAGTTAATAAGTAAATCCTTTACACAATTAGTAAGAAATTCCTCCTTAGTAAAAAATAAATTATTAAGACACTTATTCACAACATAAATAACATATTAATAATCAAATAAAAGAATCTAATAGCAAAGAATTTTAAAGCTCTGCAAGTGCAGCATTATAAAAAACAGATTAAAAAAATTAAAATATTTAAAATTAATAAATAAATGATGTTAATAATATTTAAAAGAAAGATGATGAAAAAGTTGTTTTATAAAGTAATTAATTCCCCTAAAATGTTGAAGAAGACGATTATTAGGATATTTAAATACAAGTTTATGATGCATAAATAGATGAAAACAATAACATATATGAAATTCACATACCTAATGATGGAGAAAATAATGAGGAGAAGGTTCCTTCTCATCGTATTGTGAGACCTCTCAAAAGACAAGGTCATGCTGCAGACTATGAAGAATTCGAAGAAACAAAGCTTTTAAGCAAATTAGATCAACTCTTAAAGCAATAGCAACTAGAAATACAAAAAATCTAAGAGAAATATAAACCTTAAATAGAAGAAATATAAAAAACTCTTGAATTGATTAAAAAAGCTCAAAACACATATTCTCAATCAAATCTAACTTCTTAAAAAGTTGCATCTTCTTCAAACTCTTCCCATCAAATTACTAATTCATAAATTAATAACTTCCTTTTAAATAATAATGGAGTAGGTGTCAATATGAACCACTCATAATAATTGAATAACCACAACCATCATTTTAGTTAATAAGTCAGTAGCAGTGTTTAAGCACCTTAAAATGTTCTTAACATAAATACTAACAATAGCAACAATACTCACCATTTAAATCATCATGATCCTAGATTCTTTTCAGTAGATTCCTATAACCTTCACGCAGCTAATTAAATTCAATGTAACTAAATAATTGAGAATATTTAAAGCCAAAGTCACCTTATAAGTAGCAATAATTCATAAATGTAATAAATGTATCATTCTTAAAATTAATCGCAAATTAAATCTCAGCACAACAGTTCTCATAATAACAGCAGGACTTAAAATAATTGGGTATAAAACCCATAAAATAATAATTAACAAAACATGCAACCTCATTAAAACTATATGAGTACTCCCACACAATTTAATCTTTTAAATTACAATAATTAGAATAATTTAAATTTTATGAATGGCTCTATGTATTCTTTTTAAGGCCAATAAATAAACCCTGCTATTACATTTAATGGAAATATTAGTAATATTGCACAGATGACGATGTCTCAAAATATTTCAAATATGAATATGAGTTAGAAATCAGGTACTCCAAGTTAGATGTCAAGTACAAATCTTAATAACATCAATAATGTAAATAATTTAAACTCACAAAAAAAACCTCCTATGCACCAATCTAGCTTACCTAGTTCAAATAAAAGCTAACTCAAAAGATAAATCGTTGTTGAGGGTAATGTTCTATAATAAAATTGTGAAGCAACAAGTATTTACTGCCATAGAAAATAAGTTGACTCAGATATTCTATTTAGAAACCCAGAAATACTAAGTAGCATAGAAAATTTTAAATTATTCTATTCTTCTCCTAAGCCAGAATTAAACTTAAATATATAAAGTAATATATAAAAGAAATGGGGAGTGTGAATTAATCTATAAATTATTTGCTTTATATTTGTTTTTAAAACTTCAAAAATACTCATAAATAATTCCAAAATTTATTTTATTCATGTGAGTTCGCATTCTCACTATATTTTATATCTCATTAAATATTTTCTTTTTTATGATTCCAAATAATGACTGAGTTTCACTAAATATGATTGGAGGTTTACAAAAATTTCGAATTTGTATTTCTAACTAATTATATTTTTAGTTTTATTAAAATTATATTATTATTGATTATATGGGTTAAAATCGATGGATTTAATCTCATAAATTGTAAAATATAATAAATTTAAGATACCAAAAGATTAATTATGTAAATTAATACAGTTATTATTTTGCAAATCGGTAGTGTAGTAGATATAAAAGAAAGATTCTATTCTATTAAGGATATATATAAAGCATTTTGATTATTTATTTATTTAATTAAATTATGATATTAAATTAATTGTTTTTCAGAAAATAGAATTAATCGATAAAAATATTTTTATTCTTCAATTTTTGAATTCAATATTTTTTGTTATAAATATGTACTAATAATTAATATTTAAATTTACATTCAAGTAAATTCAATCTAAAATTAATGTAACTAATCTTTTTATTTTTTAAGCTAATCTTTTGTCTTCTGTTTTTTCTTTTTCAGTCTATTATCTTTTCAATACAAATTTATTTTTTAACTAAATCAAAAATTGTAGTTCTAATTATCTAAAATTAAATATTAAGAACAAATTACGCTTTTAAAAGTAATATCTTTATATTTTTACTGTTGATTATTTCACTGCATTTTAGAAACTTGTCATTATTACTAAATAAAATAAAAATATTTTAATAAACATCCTAAAAACTTTGATGCAATTATTTTTCGAAAATAGTAAATGAAATTTACTCTGATCTAAAAAATAACTTTATAAGTTAAGAGCAGTTACTCAATCCTTATGCAATATTTTATATTCCTTTATCACCGATTTTATTGTTCCTTTTCAAACAAAATAAATTATTTAATTAAATAGGTAAATTTATTAATAAATTTAAATAAATGATATAAAATTATTAAAATTTTTTGAAATTAACACCTAAATTTTCATTTTGAATTTGGGTGGTGAGAGTGTGTTAATAAATGAGAATCAACAGTATAATATTTTTTCAAAATTTAAAAATAAATGAAATAAATTTACAATATGTCTAATGTTAAATTTGTAAGTTGAGCACAGTTACTCAAGCCTAATCCAATACTTTATGCTCCTTTATCACCGAATTTATTTTACCTTTTCAAATAAAATAAATTGATTCATTAACTATTCAAATTTACTAAAAATTAAATCGAAATAAATAAAATAATGAAACTTTTAAAATTATTTATTTATTTATAATTAATCAATGTTACTAAAAAGTAAAATTGAGATTAGTAAGGAGTTTGCAGTTACCAAGCGCTGTACCGATAGAAGAAGCTCCATCATCCCCAATTTAATTATAGCTGTTATAAATAAAAATCATGTTTAATTAAAAATTAAAAAGATCTTTTATAAATATTAAATTGTTTATTTGATTTTAAATAAAAAAGCATTAATATAATTTTTTCTAAAGTAATTAATAAATAAAATAGGTTTACGATATCCAAAATGTAAAATTAGTAAGTTGAGTGCAGTTACTCAAACCTAATCCAATATTTTATGCTCCTTGATCACCGATTTTATTTCCCCTTTTTAAACAAAATAAATTAATTAATTAACTATTCAAATTTAATTGGAAATTTAAATCAAAATAGATTAAATATTTAAAACTTTAAAAAATTTTTATTTATTTTTTAATAAATAATCAATGTTACTAAATAGAAAAGTTGAGATTATTAAGGAGTTTGCAGTTACCTAGCGCTGTACCGATAGAAGAAGCTCCATCATCTCCAATTTAATTTTAACTTTTATAAATTAAAATCATGTTTAATTAAAAATTAAAGATATTTTATAAATATTAAGTATGCTTACTTGATTTTAAATAAAAAAGCACTAATCTAACTTTTTAAAAATTAAATAATAAATGAAATAGATTTACGATATCCAAAATGTTAAATTAGTAAGTTGAGTGCAGTTACTCAAACCTAATCCAATACTTTATGCTCCTTTACCACCGATTTTATTTCCGCTTTTCAAACAAAATAAATTAATTAATTAACCATTCAAATTTAATAGGAAATTTAAATCAAAATAGATATAATAATTAAATCTTTTAAAAAATCAAATGCTACCCAATAGAAAATGTGAGATTAATAAGGAGCTTGCAGTTACCAAGTGCTGTACCGATATAAGAAGCTCCATCATCCCCAATTTAATTTAAACTTTTATAAATCAAAATCATGTTTAATTAAAAATTAAAGATATTTTATAAATATTAAGTTTGTTTATTTGATTTTAAATAAAAAAGCATGAATATAATTTTTTCAAAAGTAAATAATAAATAAAATA